GGCTAAGACTTTCCATGCATAATACTATGTATTGTACAAGGTGGTCCTTTAAGTTTAAACATTTGTTTTCTGATGTACTGAGTAACCATGAGTTTGTTGTCTCCGTCTTACAAACGTACGATATGCCAAATATTCGTGATTCCGTGATTAAGAGTTTTTCAATTTTTTCGATATTTTAGTTTTAAAGTGAGATATAGACATTTTTAATTTGTGATGTTTCTCATATCAATATTGTCTTACTTAAATATTTAAATATTGTAAAAATCGCCGAAGTTTAAAGAAAATCATCTACAGGTACTTACCGTTTTTCGAAAATTATTTTTTCACCTAATCTGAAGTCGTGACTAAACATTTTTGGAACAACTTTTATATACTTATCATTTCTTGAGTTTTTACTTCTATAAGAATGACGGCTTATATTTTTTATTTCATGTTCCAAAGTAGAATATTTTCCCGACGATTTAAAAATAGATACTAAATATAAACATTTAATTTTGAATGAATAGCTAATTAGCTATGAGTAGGGCTTGTGATTTGTGACTCTTAAAAATAATCATGTAAACTCTTAAATATGGATTAAAACTGTCGAAATATGTTAAGTAAAAATTATAGTTTTTCAATTATTTTTTGTTATTAATATTTATTATATTTTCACAATACAAATTGAAGTGAGTATCCAAGTACCTTGGCGTATTATTTTAAGTTCAGTTAAAAAATTTAAAATAGGTAAGTACTTATTTTTAAAAATTTGAACACGTTTCATTGGTTTTTGTTGTTTTTTTGTCATTAAAAGTTATTTCGCCAATAATACTAAATTCCTTCAAATTTTCTCTGCTGTTCTATGAAGAAATTATAAGACAGTGCAAGTATATGAAACACTTTAAAATATAGTTATTTGCAAGTGATCCTTTTTACACACATTTTTTTTCAGGATTTTAAATCTGCATACTTTTCACAAAAACGTGCGAGTAGTTATCCCTATCTAAGGCGGCTTTCCATAAAGAATGATACATTTTACAACATTATATATTGTATAAACCTCGGTGCGCATATATTTAGTATACAAAATTATTTTAATGGTAATAGGCATGTTCATCACAGCATAACATATTTTATAAAAAAGTATAATTTTTAGCCATACTACTAAGTGCTACTATACTCAATCACACTCGTACCTATTGTTTATACTGTGGAAAAATATTCTGATACCTTTTTTGGTAATAACTGTTGTTAGGTAATTATTGTAATTTGTAACAAGTTAGTTACATTTTCTACATTTCTTATCATTGTCGATTCTTTGTAGTCTTAGTAAAAAATTCTTAACTCTTATTTTAGCTTTTGAGCAGTTACATCATTAAGATAGGACTTCGATAAATATTAACTTATTTTTCTGAATAATTATCATTAATTTGTGTTTCTGGTGGATTAATATTATTGGAGAGAAAAATAAAGTACATTTTTTCCAAGCGTTCATAATATAAAATAGTATGTCTATGTAAATTAAGCAATAGTAATTTGTCTAATGAAATACAAAATATTTGGACTTAAAATGTTTGCTCTAAATTTTTAAAGGTTCATTAATACTAGAAAATAAATTATGGAATTTTGATTAGAAATTTCAAGTTTTTTTTTAATTCAGTGGTTATACTCAATTTTTTTGTAGTTTATTTTGGCTTCACCAAACAGATATTATCCCAAAAATCTATTACTTGTTAAATATCAGCGTTGGATGTTAAAATGTTAAAACGACTTAAAATGTTCAATGCCTTCAATATAAATCTTACAAACATAGTGTAGGATAAATATTATATATTTTTACTTTGCAATAAGGAATATATTTCAATTTTTTTATCTTTGTAATTCATAATGCTCCGTTCAATTACATATGTATTCCGTGTATAATACTATTCATTTAATATTATTACAGCATGTTATTATTTTTAAATATAGTTTAATACACACGGACGTCATTTAAATTGTAACGAGTCTGTGATTTTCGATTATATAATATTAAATCAATTTTTTTGGCTTTAGTCATCTTGGGGAGGGGTCACGTGTAGTGGAGCATGCGTACATTTTGACACAGACATCCCTGAACGATTCCAGGTGTACGAAGTAAAATGTTTTTCCACTATTCCACTCATCCAGACATTAAAAACTTATAATGAATTAATAACAAGTCTTTGGATATTAATAATTTTCATAAAAATATTCCACTTTTATTGTTTTATTTTCAAATTCTGAATTGGATTTTTTGTATTGCTTCTCTTATTCATATTATAATTTATTGCTTGATAATATCAATAATATAATTATTGAAAATTATCAATGTATTTCGTGTAATGCAATTATATTTTTCATTTATTTTCATTAGCTATTACTGTGTAATTAATTGCACTAAATATTAAAAATACAATACTTAGCACAACAATAATGCACAGCCTTTTATCGTTAATTTACGTACATTTAACTTAGCTCGTAGGTAAAAACATACAGCAGGTAGGAAATCCGGGACTTAATTAGGTTAATTGTTTGGAATTTTTATAACCAATGTTGCACTGCACAATTAGTGAGCCACTAATTTCAATTAATGTACATGAATTGTTATGTTAGTTTCAGACTTCAAGGTATCAAGTAAGAATTAAATAATAAATAAATAGTACAATTTTGAACATAAATGGCATTACGGAAAAGCCATGGCCACTGTCGAGGTTCCGTTTTTCTACTATCTCAGAGTTGTAGTTTGTTACTTAATTATTTGTTTTATTTGTCTCCGAATGACAGATCACTATATAACGCTGGTGGTAGCTGGTATACTGGTACATATGTATGTGAAATAAGTGTATCTGGTATTCTGGTCTAGTAGGTACTTTAATAATAAGTCAGTTTCTGTTATAATTTATCTTAATATAGTTTCTAATCAATATCATATTAATTATTAATATGCATTATTAATATTCATTACAAATAAATCCGATCTCAAATACTAGGCAAATTATTAAAATTTTATTAGAATTTGCATATCAAAGCATTAAAGCATTACAAAGATGATTATGCTCGAAGATTAAATTTGCAAATTTTAACAATTTAATACATTTATTCGTACAGTAAACACTTTAGAACAAATATTGAATATATTTTAATTTTATAGTATTAATAGTAATTAATTATAACAATATTGAATGAATTCGTATTTTACAACCAAATATAATAAAAAAAGAATAAAAAGAATAGTACATGAATATTAATAATAACATTTACAAAAAAGTTATATTTTTTATTATTTTTATCTCTATAATTTTTAAGTTTTACCTTTTTTCAAATCACAACATACATTATCAACATAAAATTCCAAAGAAAAATTTTGTCAGTATTTTGATATCTAAAAATCAAATTTCAAACGGGTAGTAATTTAGTTATAACTTATAACAAATAAGTACATATTTAAAGTTTATATGAGTGATGTCGAGTGGCATATAGGCTAAGGGATCACTTATTTCAACTTTAGATAATTGTTAATTATAATTTATAATTTATTAACTTCTCTTTCCTAATTCGATATTAATACATGTATTCTCCAAAAACATTTTTCTTTGAACTATGAAATTAGAAATGTGTAATCACATTTAAAAAAGTAAAAATATATTTTTTTTGTAAATTGTATTTTTTATAATTTCAAATGATGTAAAAAATCATTTTAGGTTTCAAAATATTGAGTGTCTAATGTTAAAAAATAGGCTTATTATTTTGTAAAATAATATTATTGTAGTTCAGCATACAAAACTTTGTATGAAAAATTAAATTCGTAAACATAATATAATTGATTTAATTTTCCATTGGAAATTTGTTCAATGTGTAATTTACTAATAACCCATCGACATGAATAGACCATAAATTTAGGTTTGTTTATTTATAATCCGAACACGCTAGTTATACATTGTAATAAATTAATATGCAAAGTGTACCGGAGGGTTTAATTGCGGACTCCGTCACCCACTTCTACATTAAATCTGAATTTTAGTTGCCATTAAATAATATTGCAATCATTGTGTTTGTCACAGATTATAATAGTGGGGGATGATGACGAACAAACACAAATTTGAATAAATGTCCAAGCTTACAGTCACTACCCCGTAGTGCTCAAGAACGTTCATATCTCTGAAAACCACAATGCCAGCAACTCGATCGGCCATTATTAGTAGTTTCATTATCGCCTGTTTCTTTTCACTGGCTCTTATTACTTTGCACTTAAATTATGGTCAGTGATTGTTTTTTTCTGATATTCAAGTATGTCTAATTTCTAAGCAAATAATATCATTTAATCACGTTTAGGCTCTAACGATTGTCATGAAGGTTCATTCTTGTGCAGCCAGTCGGACGTTTGTATTGCAAATAAATATAAATGCAATAATTTTTCTGACTGCCTACACGGAGAAGACGAACATTATCTCACATGCAGTTAGTATATATTATAAAAATTATAAATAGTCAATATTATTTCATTAAAACATGTGCTTTGGCTGTTTGTCATTACTAATTAATATTTAACTCATTCCAATAGTATATATATTAATTATACAGAATACATACACTGTACATATAGTATTTGTATTCAGGTACCTGTGTGATTGTGGCACTATGTCACTTAATATAACCGTTTCGAAAGTTTCAAAACAAAATAGTATTGTTGTCTTGAGATATATTTGTATATTGTTTCGTATAGATATTTTATTTATACAAATATGTAATTTCATAAATATAAAAATTCAAAATTAATTATTGTTGAACAAAATTTTAAAGCTTTAAACCTTAATTAATAATTAAACCATTTATCAATTACATGTGAAACAACATTTATGTACTCTCCATAAATTATAGAGAATTAATTATCCATTGCAAAATATAAAATGTAACACTGATTGTTAGTTTTTACGAATTTATAATATTTTGTCAGTTAGACATTTAATGATTTAATTAAATCAAAACTTTTTCAGCCGACTTCTCTGGAAGTATGCAACATTATCATAAAGTTATATTCACCGAAGACCCGAACCCAGATCCAACACCAAAACCGGTACTAGAACTAGGACCAAAACGTAATGATTCAGATATTGAGTTGCCTTGTGGTAAGTTTGCAATTGAATTAAAGTTATATACGTACTAAATGTCTTACACATAATAAATTATACACATTTTATTTATTTAATCTAAGGTTTTAAAAATACCATGGATCGTGTATGGAGCATGTGAAATTAAAATTAAATTCGCAAATACGTATTTATTTTAATAATCTTTGAATTTCCTAGAACATTTTAATAAATATAGATTATTTGTAACCTTACATTTAAATATTATTTACTACCTTTATCATATCTATCATATATAGGTACAATACTCTAAGCCATATTTTTTCAAATTCAAACGTTAGATTAAACTATAGGCATGACATAGATCGTTCTTTGAGACAGAATTATAAACAATGATTCAAAGCTGTTTTTTTTCCAATAAATTTTCAAAAAATACTAGAATATTTTTTTAGAATAATGTATTTAAAATGTAGCTTGTAGAGTCCAAAGTTGACTTTACAAAAAAAAATCTGTTTTCAAAATCATTATCGGTACAAAATTTGGTATGTTGAAACTCGTTTACATCAGTTTTCTACAACTTTTAGTTAAATAGTTTTGGTTTTAGGTGTTATATAACTGTCTTATGACACCTGCATGTATTAGTACATATACAATCAATAAAAAATTATAAGAGTATGAGAATTCAAATTAATTTGAGAGAAAACAAATATTGTGCTGAAATAATCTTCATTTTTTCCGAATATATGCAAATGATATTGTGTGTATAAAAATATAAAATATTATAATATAATGCACTAAAAGTTTCAAGTACCCACGAAGAATATTTTTACATTACAACAGAAAACTTAAATCGTTTTTCTTTGTTTAAATATCTAATTTCGTCCAATTTTTAATTTAAAATGTCTATTACTAAAGATTGTGTTTCTATAATATTTTAGTTTTTTGGCTTCAGAATGAACTTCTTAAGACAAACCTTGTACTTATACATTTCCAAGTTTTCGGAAATTTTAGAAAAAATAACTAAAAATAACTCAAATGTCAATAATTAGATTAAAAAAGTCAAAATATTAAAAAAAAATAACCAATGCGAAGAAAATGCTTAAAAAAAGGATTTGATGAAAATTTCAAGTATCTACGAATATTTTCCTATAAATTACAACAAATTAAGAAAATAGTTAGTTTATGGCTGAATATCCAATTTCGTCAAATTTTATGCTGCAGAAATTCATAAAAGTTAAGCATTTTTACAGTCCCAAAAAGTGATGACAGACTGAAAAACAAAGCACACGTCTATGTAAAATCAATACATTATCGTCTCTCCGCTCAGAATCTAAAAACATGAATATACTTGGGAGGCCTCTTAACAGTGTGAGAACTCTCAGAATATTTAAATTTATACAAAATACGTGTTTAGTTTACATTAGATAAGTACAGGTATTTAATATACCATAACGTGTTTTGAATATTTTAATAAAGCTTCTTAAACGTTAATCTAATTGTCATTTACAAAATATTTGTAAGGGTAAGCCATTACGAGTTTAATATTTCAGTCACCGAGCATAGGTATAATTAATTTGAATACTATACGTCACATAGAACCGACGGACATTGAGTTATTTTTACTGTAAAAAAAAATCGACGTACTTATTAACATTTTAATTTAATAATATTTTTAAAAATTAATATTAAATAACAAAAAATTTAAAAATGTATTTATACCCATTGTTATTAAATTTGCATAGTATTAAGCATTGTACTCACAACTCATATTATTATGTATACTACTATTCGATACTCGGACACTACCTTAGTTGTATACTTGCACTCACAGCTAATACCTTCTAAATAGTTGGAACTGAAAAAACCGATTGATTATCATTTTGATTTTTAATTAGCTTTTGTACTGCCATTTAGCTTTAAACAATTACCCCGCCAGGTGTGACTGTTTGGTTGAAACATGGCTACGGTGTAATAATGTCGAACTGACAAAAGTGCCAAGAAATATTTCGTCTAATCTAAAAAGAATGTAAGTAAAGAATCAAAATAATTTACCAATTCGAAATTATCAGAAATGCTTGTTACAAATGTGGTCAGCAATCGATACGATGTATCGTGCACCATTTACGTAACATACTTTTCTTATCACCCAGATGATAGTCAGTGATTAATATATAAGCTAAGATAAGGGTGGAGGTGTTTCAAATTTCGATATCAGCATTTGTTTATACTTTTGATATCAACGGTATAATGAATAATATTAAATTGTTTTCGGTCATTAAAACTAGACTCTGATTTTTTGGGAACTACTGTAGTTTATTACCGAACCATAGTGTATCAATTATCAGTGTTCTTAGCAGTATTTACACTCAGTGCTTATAAAATAGTGGTTTTTCATGAATTTGGATAATAAAATACTAGGGTTTCGCTTTATGTTTGATAATTATGGTAGGTAATAACGTTATAATCGTGGTAGTCCCAAATACTAAAAATACCAGTAGTTCTAGGCTATGATTTCGACTCCATGAAAAGTTTCAAAAATACCGGCATGACTTAAATATTATTCATCTCAATAAATGCATTAAAATATTTTTTTACGAATTAAATAAATTGTGATAGGTACCTTACTATTTACCATTATTTGTTAAAATATTTATTAATAAATTAAATGTTAAGAAATTAATTGTAATCATTTTGTAATAATTGTGAACAATTTAATTACTAAGTAAATAACTAAGTAGATATTTATACAACTCCTTTTAGCTTACCTGTTTTGATATAGAGTATAATTATATATTACATTATTAATTTATACTATAACAGTTTTTATCGGTTATAATATAATTGCAATTATAAAATACAGTCATGTACTATCTTAATGTATTTTAGATCAATGAGGAGCAACAATATAGTTCTTTCTAACGATTCTTTTGATGGTTATAATTCGTTGGTAATGATGTAAGTTATGAACACTATAGTTAAAACATAGAAGGTCAAAACATAATTCATATAATTTCTAAATATTTATTTCTCAGCCACTTAGAATATAATAGACTGTCTGTAATACCTCCGTTCGTCTTTAAACATCAAGATAAATTAAGATATCTGTAAGTAGTTTTTAATTTTCTTTAAAATTAAATTAATACATAACTGTATCTTTTATAAAATATTAACAGATAACTATTGTCAACTAATTTTTAATGAAAACCTACAAAATAATCTTTTTTCAGTTTTTTATTACGTAATGAATTGAATGTTTTGGAAAAAGATGCCCTTTACGGATTGAATAATATTAGTACCCTATTTTTGGATAATAATCACTTGGTGTTTTTAAATTTGAACTCCTGGAAGCATATGGTCAAAGTAAAATGGATGTACGAATCAAAATGTTTGATATATATTTTTTAATTACATCGTTGTATATATATTTTTTAGAGATCTTTCACATAATTTGTTGACTTTTAAGAACGAGTGCTTTCCACACTTTAAGAATCTTGAAATGTTGTAAGTATTTTCTTTTATATTATATCACTAATAAATATTAATATTAATTATTAAAAATAGATGAAATATACTTATTATTATTAAATCGCAATTTACTTTATTATAATAGACATTTACAATGGAATCTCATTGAAACAATAAACGAGTTCATGTTTGCAGAATTACCAAATCTATCGGTTTTGTAAGACAATTTATTTAATTTGTTTAAAAATAAAATAATAATACCTTATCAACATGATCTCACAAAAAATTGAATTGTTTTTACATTTACTGCATATTTATATTATTTTCAGGAATTTAAGTAACAACGTAATCACTGTGGTTCATAAAAATGCATTTCAAAAGTTATTGAATCTTTCGGATTTGTAATGATACAAGTTTTTATTAAAAAATAAATATTTTTATTTTTATTTTTACACAAGCGTATATAATCAATTTTACAGAAATATAGCTGACAATCGCATTACAACAATCGCGCAGGAAATGCTACATCCATTAAAAATATTAGATAAATTGTAATACTACGTTACAATTTTTGATTCAGTTAATACGTTTTTTTTTTTTATTTAGAGTTTTAAGAAATAATCCAATTACAAGAATAAATAAAGTTATTTTCTCACAAATGAAAAAACTCTCTTCGTTGTAAGTTGTATTTATTTTGTAGATTTATACTACATTGAATACTTTTATATTTTATACTTAAATACATATTAACATAATTACACAACATTCGTACCCGGGTTCTTGAGTTCTATCAAATTTAATTCACATATTTAAAATAAAAAAACGATTATATTGACAATATTAAAGTAATACTATGAATTATTCATGTATTAGATCGAATATGATGATGTTACAATACACTTTATGTGCAATGAAATTTCTTATGATAAATTGGTAATTTAATAATTGAAAGATTCTAAAAATTACTCACATTATCCAAAAGTTTTTATTTGTTTCAACTAGGTATATAATATAAATGTACAGTATGGGTACATTATACATTTTAAAATTCTATGAAATTTTAGTTTGAATTTTTAAATTAAAAATATAAAATCAGCTACACAACGAGTAGTAATTTAAATATTCCTTTTCAAAGTCATAATTTAAATGGATAATAATATTTCGAACAATTAAAGCTTGAATATATGAAAAATGATAATATATATCCATTTAACAATATGACTCACTAAACACAGCGATCTACCTTGTTTATAACAGTCTAAGTAGTCGATAAATGTATATTAATTATTCCAAATATTTTATTGATGCTTATTGTTTACATTTAGGTAGGTAAGTATTTTTCGTTTTTATTGAAGCTAAACGTTAATTATTCAAGTAAGTACGGGAACTTTGAATTTATAATGTATCATGAGCCTCATAAAATCATTATGTATTTAAATAATTATGAAAACAGTATCGTGGCTACTAATGTACTATTCAATTTTTAATTTAGTTCCGAATTTCCGGTTGTATGCTGTATAGCTATTCGTTATTATGGATGAACAATATACATATTATTATGTTATCGTCACCATGGATAAATAAAGGTGTATCTAATACAATTTGAAGTATTACACCTATAATACTACTAGAATAAAAAATGTATTCACTTCTCATATTATATTGAAATTTGTATGTTCCATTTTTCCGCCAAATTCCGTTAAACCTCAACTGTCATTACCACCGGTACTATATTACATTTCGATTTTTAAACCATTTATTTTTTAAATTATGATTTATTAGTATTGATATATTGAAGATTGGAAATAAATATAAACATATTTAAAAAAACTATAGTCATACAAATATATATTGTATAATAAACAATACACAATATAGTATAAATATAGCATATTATATTCATTTAAAATAATATTTACATTAAATTAATAATTTATTTTCTTATTTAAATTGTATTCAAGTATAAAACGTCTGCAAGTTAAATATTTTGTTAATTAAAAATACAGACTTGTATGGTTTGTACGCTAAGGTTGTTACAAAGGTATCGACACAATTCTCTCTTTTTATGTTGATCAACAAATCACATTTTCGTTTTGTAGTTTTAATTTTTTTTCGAGGTCTCTTCTGATTTTTTTAGCTGGAGTATGGAATATTCAATATGATTGTGTTATGGTCTTTTTTATATTTGCATTATTAAATATTGTATCGTTTTCATTTGTGTAAACTTTTGCTTAGGTACAGTTTTTAATTGCACACCACCAACGTATAAGACCTATTTACACAAACCAATCAGACATTTTAAATTATCTAAAATCAGTTTTTTTCTTATCACGACCACTTTCAATAATTATATTTTTCATTTCAATAAATACATCTGTGTTTAGCATTTCTTTAACACAGTTTAAAATGTAAAATCATGAAACCTAAAAAAACCTTTAATGTACTAAAATACTTGAAATACTTATATAAATTATCTACCTATTCATTTTGTTATAATTAGGATTTTAATGACCTAAAAAATACACAAATAACTTATAATATTTAAGACCTATTTATGTACCTAAGTACCTTCATAAATATTAATATGTAATGTACTACTTATATTATTGTGATCTTGAGGTACAAGTAATTTAGGTTAGGTACCAAACATTTTAAACAGTTTGTATAAACATGATACATTATATCGTAATATTTATTATATAGTTTAGTACATACATTTAAATGAAAATTGATTTAGTTTTACTATTTATGATAGCTTTATATACTATCTAATTCTGGATCAGGGATCTACCAAGGCTATGGGTATATTTTTGTTTATAATTTTCACTTAAAATTTTCACTTAAAATTAACTTCTATAAAAAAAAAATAATATGAAAACTAAAAGAAATATACAAAGAAAAATAAGGGGCTTTCCACCTCTGCCATATGACTTGTTTGCATTACTTAAATTTCTTATAATCACTGTCTAGTTCAATTTACAAATTAAAAAATAAAGAAAGTCACTAAACATACCTACGTATTTCATTTAAATGCAAATTTTAAATCAAGGTAGACCCGCATGCGTCTCACACTCCCGCTATGGCAGTAGGCAGATCGAATTTATATTTTCTTTTACAAGATAGGGTATAATAATTATTGTTATAATTTGAATATTTAGACAGTTTATATAAATGTATTAAAATAATGGATTTTTAATAATATGCATTTTATACAGAAAATATATTTTACAGAGATATGAATGGCATAAATAAAGAAAATATTGAAATGTCATTATTTGATAACTTGACTACACTGGATTTTCTGTGAGTTGATTTTATTTAAAATAGTGTTTTTACATTAAAATGTAAACTTTTCTATTGGTTTTTCTTTCAGTTACTTAAAAGAATTTCATTATTGTGTTTTGTACGCCCCACATGTTGACTTCTGTTCTCCAAATACGGATGGTAAGTGCCAACAATTAATGAAATATTATTAAGGTGAATTAATAGCAATCATAATTTATAACCGGCCGCCTAATATAATTGTTTCATGGAATATAAACTATACAATATAATATAAAGGGTTATCGTCAAGTTTAAATCTCCTACCAAATTCAACTTTTCGATGGTTTCTATGGATGGTGACAGTCCTAACATTGATTTTTAACGCATTGGTGTTGTACGGTCGGATGTTCAGTACTTTTGGAGACGAAAATAAAGCAATAAACTTTGTCATACGGAATTTAGCTGGTAATAACAAGTGTATTGATTTTCTAAGTTAAATTCATAAGCATATAACAGTGTGTGTATATATATATGTGTGTTTCAGGTTCAGATTTGTTCATGGTGATATACTTAATGGTTATTGGTTATTATGATCAAATATATCGGAATGAATATTATTTGTATGCACACGAGTGGGAGTCATCTATCTTGTGCACTGTAATTGGAATGATAGCTGTGATTTCGTCAGAAGTATACTATTTAAAATATTTATAATAATTACAAATAAAACTTTTAGAATAATAACTATTCGTCGATTATAATTTTTTAAATAATTTTAAAAAAATACTAAGAAAACAGATACTGATAATGAAACCATTATGAATAAATATTTAAATTATTATTGCTTCTCTTTGGGTTTATGTACGTGTAAACGAATTTTTATTTTTATTTTTTTGCTGTTTTTAAAATTTTTATTTGGAGTTATGCAGTGGTATTCGGAATTTACTAGTCTAAATGCATAAATAAAATTCACCACCCCCAACCGCTTTAAAATAATTCGTCAATATTTTTGGTTATAGGTATCTATGCTCGTACTGGTGTTCCTAAGTTTGGAAAGATTCTTACTCATAGCTGTACCATATTCTGGATATCAAGTATTGAAATTGAAAACAGCCGTTTACTGTATGGTATCAATTTGGGTGGTCGGCATAAGTTTATCAATTGCTCCATGTAAGTATTATACAAGAAATAATTTCTGTTTGTTGAATATAGTATTTAGATTAAAAAGGCAGATGTAATAACTGACAGTTGACACTAAACCTACTATTTAGACTTGTGGTTACAAATAAACAAGCAATTGACGCGCAATAGGTACTTATTCAATATTGGAACTGCAGTTGCAACAGAGTGCAAAAACCCGTTTTCATATGCACGTGACCCTTTGGCCCTGTTATGGAAATAATGGATTATTTATTTATCTATCTATATATCTATATTATATGTATCTATCTATCTATCTAAAAATGCTAATCTAAATAATTGAATGGCGTTTTTGGAAATGGTTTGCTCAAAATGTCTACAATTTGTTCCACCATTCCAGAAATTGTACCTAGTCCTAACGTTCTTTTTCATACTATTTTTCTCGTATTAATTGGTAACGAACATCCTTTTATTTTATACTTCTGTGTTAATCTGTATTTTTTTATCGATATAATAGCTGATTGGTTGATTGATTTTCGATGCATAGTGTAATTTTAACTGGCCTCCATAATCGTAAGATGTTGTGCTGTAAATTAGTCTAATCAACCATATTTTAATAAAACCTTTTATTAGTTCACTTTCTGTAATTTATAATGCTTCTGGTTAAGAAAGCGACTGAACTTGTCTGAACTACACTGCGTTTCCTTTGTAATGTTTATTAATTTATTGGAGATCCTATTTTTTAATTTATATCCTGGTGTTGATCTTCGTGTTTAGTAATCAATTACGAATAATTTTATTTGTCTAGTGAAAATAAATTTATTTGAATCATAATATACGCCGTAATTAATTGTAATTTTTACACAACATACACGCGTTTCACCGAAACTCAATTTACTTGATTAGGGTCTGATAAAAAAAGACTTTTATAATTAATTGTCTATTATAATCTGGTCTTGTGACCTGAGATAAAAATAATAAGCTGCTTTACTGCTTGTCAATAGTAAACATCATTTTTAATTTTATTTGAATTTGATTGGAATATGGATTTCATTAGGCCAATTGTATGTGAGCTGTCCATCGGTATAGATTATTCTTTACCATCTTATATCTACATAAATATAATTTTGTTCACGTAATTGCTTTGGTCATCTATGAAAATGCAATATCGACCCATTTTCTAACTTAAAAATATTTATTCCAAGGAAATAACTCAATGAGACACTTGCTATTTGAAATTCTGCTTTCATTGCTTCTAACTGTTTATTTAAACATTTAAAATATAATTGTTTGCTGCTATCAGTCCACAGACCACCATCGACAAATAAAGCCAAAATAATTTTCTCATAATTTTAATTATTTGTAAATACACAGCTATCTGCGCTACTGAAGTTTAATTTAAATTTGCATATAAATTCTGTAAGCCTGGTATTCCAATACCTTGCAGTGCTTGCTTTAGTACATATATACTATTGTTCAACTTATAAGTTATATACGTAAGTACATGGTTGGGGTTAACTTCATTTTCTAATACATTATTATGGTTGTAAGACTTTAATAATTAGACTATTTTCATTTTTTTTGTATTTATTTATAATTTATGATTTTGCCATTTTGTAGAATCAGATATTATATCGAAATGTATTATAGTCGCATACAAATGTAATGTATTGTCATTCATTAAATTTAAAGTACATAATACAATATCAAATTGCATTCACCTACACGCATGTACACAATATGAATAATACCATAATGCACTTTAATTATAGTGATTTTATGGAAGCACTCGTCAAAATTTTACGGTTCCAATGGTTTGTGCTATCCTTTATATATTGAAGACCCATTTGCTAGTGGTTGGCAATATTCGGCATTCATGTTTTTGGGATTACATACAGCAAGGTAGTTTTTAAATTAGATACTTCTATTTATTTTAAAATCAATCAAAATATTATTTACAGTTATTGGTATTTATTATAAGTTTATAAGTACCTAACGGCTAACACCACTTTATTGTCATTGCAGTTTATTACTTATGTCCGTTTTGTATGCGTTGATGTTTATAAGTGTCAGAAAAACAAGACATGCTGCCCGCATATCTGCTGGTGATTTTGATTTCGCAGTTCGTTTCTTTTTCATTGTTTTGGCGAATATTTTATGTTGGTTACCCATAATCGTTTTGAAATTCGCGGCACTAAGAAAATATCATGTTTCAAGTAGGTGCCTACAATATATTTTTTTATTGATACATAAAAGTATTCTTATAATGCCTACACTGGCTATACTGTATCCTAACTAAACTACAATAATTTAATGGTTTGTAGGTAAGATGTACGTATGGCTAATTATATTTGTTGTGCCGATCAATGCATTGGTAAATCCACTATTATATACTTTCACAACACCCAAGTATATCACTGCAGTGACTTCAAAAAATATGTTCAAGATGACGTACCGCGACTCAAGCAGTGGTAAACTATTTAGTTCCAATTATCTCATAGTTATTATTATTTATTACCCAATTGGACTATTCAATTTTTGGCTATTATTAGGTATTATGAATTTTATAATTTTAAATTATAGTGTGAACAAGCAATACAGGTATCCATCTAGGTTTTATTAGAATTTTCTTACATAACCTACATTAAACTTAGACTATTGAAATCTAAAATATCGATAAATTTGTTATAGTAAAATGTCGAGAGTAAATCTTTATACATTTTTTTTGGTTAAGAATTTCTAGAATTTTTAACCTATATTTTAATTTTGTATCCATCATGCTTAATAGTTAATACTTACTACGTTTTGTGCTCTGTTTCTAAAATTCTAAAGCTAAGCATTTGAGAACAATTTGAGTGGCAATTAGAATCAAAAATACTTAACGGGGTGAATTATATTACTGTAATAGTATAAATTAGACTGAGTCTATAACATTTAATATGTGGTGACTGTTGACAGTTATTATGTATATCATTTAAATTGTATAATACTGAAAATTCAATACTGAAAGTATAATAATGAAATATACATAATATAAAAAGCACCTACAGATTTATTCAAATAAACTGGCTCCAGTTCTAGAAAAATTTATGTTTTAAACTAAATATATTACCTATCTCCTTTTTTTTTAAATGTATTTTTTGTACAAAGCAGAGACAAATAAAAAATATATGCCTACCTACCCTTTAAATTTATATTAACTTTCCGATAAATTTATTTGATAAGCATTATGGAAATTTTATATTTAATCATTTTCCAGTTGTAGAAACGTCAAAATCATCACGCCCAATATCTCTATACAGTAGAAAATATATCAAGAAGAATAGAAAGGAGACACTTGAAGAAAAGCAAAACGAAAATAATATCACTCAAGAAAATAGTTTAGAAACTACAAACGGTGAATAATTCATCGATGAATTTCTGATCACAGTATTATTATGTATACAGTTGATATACCTACCACTTCTAAAATTAGTATACCTACTATTCAGTCTATATTTCAGCATCAGAACCTATTCTAACCAGACGGGTTAATATTGCAAAGTACATAGTAGGTAGGAAACAAAATTTCAATAATATGCATCACCTATAAGCTGAATAAACTTAGTGATACACGACTTGGTATATAGTGGATACCTGGTTTAATAATATTTATTTCAGCCTTAATAAGCAACAGCTAGTTAAAAATATATTATATTATTATAATAATAAAACATCCGTGATAATAAAGTATTGAAAAAGTTCAATTTTTTAATAAATTTATATTTTATTCCACCATACGGTGTAGGTAGACGACAGTATTGTAATACAATTAATTTCATGATTTTTTCTATACTAATATTACACGATATGTAGGTATGTTTGATATTTTTTTCTGTCTGTAATAGTAGCCGTCGAATTTTTGTAATTTTACTTTATCTTTTTATTGACGTTTAACACCTTTAATATAATATGCATATTATGACAAACTGTACTAAGACCACACCTACACATTTTTTGTCAACACCCTTATCGTGATAGGGATTATCAAGTTTTATGTTTATTGTACTTTTCTTTTGACATATCATAATATATTATTATCGACACTTGAAGCTTTTAATTTATGGTAATATTAGTCATTAAGTAAACACAAAATGAATGAACAACAAAAAATATACAACTCTTAAATGTATTACAGTATTTTATACGATTAATATAATAATGCGAAACGATTCTAGCATATATCTATATGTACACATAAAAAAAATAACAATAAATAAGGAAGTAATATTATTTTATTTTTATACGACGGATGATAATTATTAGATTAAAAGAGTATGGATTGTAATCAAAGAATTCAATTAAAATGTAATTTTTGTGGAATAGGTTGTAAAAATTATACCTATTACCTGTAAGAAACTTATCGATAGGCTAAATAAATTATGTGATGACTACATTGATGAAGCATTTAAATTTAATCCAAAAACATGGATATCATCTTCATTATCATCGAAACAAGGGACTAAGAATCTGACGATGAATTAAACAAAAAATTGATAGATTCACTTACATTTAAAGTGAAATAAAATCTCTATTTAAAAAAAATAAGAATTATGTTTAATTTTTTGTAAAAACAATAACTAAATAACCCTCATCAGTGTTTGAGTTTCTGTGTGTAGTTATTGTATTCAGTAGTTTATATTTTATTGTTTTTTTTTCTGCCATACCTTCTATGTCATGTAACTGAATATCGGGTGGATTCCATAGCCGGCGGAATTAATATTAAAACCTCGAAATCGATAAAACCACAAATCTAAAGCTAAGGACAGTTTACTGACGTAACAACTACCCAAAAGTCATTCACAGGTTAGGTATTCATAGGTATATTGCCAACGAAATATTGTGTGTGTACCGAAGTGTTATATGCATTAAATGTATATAAATACCTAATTTTATGAATTATGATATAATATTGTATTAAATCTAGACCCTTAAATAGTATTTTACAAATAAATTATTGAAATCTTATGTAGGCATGTATAGTAAAAACTTGTCGAACGAGCAAAGAAGAATAATATTTTATGATTTTACTATATTCAGTATATTCTATAATCATCTATCACATCAAAATATTTTATGTGTGTATTTTTCTTATGTGCAAAATCACTTTACGTTCAAGTTGTAATTTGTAAGTATAAATAATGTGACGATATTTCAAGATAACCCGATTCAACGTGGTAAGTGTTAATTTTTTTTATATTTATATCACGAAACAAATGACCTAGTGTGTATGGTATGTTTTTAATAACATCCCAGAACCACCTGTTGTACTTTCCTGTACAGCCCAGTTGTGTCCCTGTTGGTTTGTTTGATGGGAATTGTGGGGATTAGCAGCGAATACATTTAGCTATGTGATGTTTGTGTAGGACCTATTTTATGTGTTGATTGCTCATTTGTTCGACTAATAAATAAAAATGTGATGTAAGCACGTGTGACATAAATACACAGTGAGTGATTGGTTCATCCGTATCACTAGCACATCTGGATTATTAATCCAGACCTATTAGGTCCCAGGGCGTTACTCGAAGTCGGATTCACGTTAAATTGCCAACTTTTCAAATGACAGTTTGTATGAGAAAAACTATTTGATGGATGCATGAGTTGAGTGCATGTAAGAGAAAATATACATGGAGAAACTGCCGAGGCTATTACTAGAGTTGGAACTTAGAAATACGGAAACAGTCACAATCAAAACAAAATCTTAAAAAAAAATGTTGACTGGATACTATTAAAATATATAATACTTATTGTATTCGTGCCCATTCGTCAATGTCTGTTTTTTTTGCATTAATATTACATAAATAATGTATAAAATCTATATTATCGATACTATATCATATCATACTATAAAGAATAGACCGTCGTCAAAGGTGGGGGGTACGATGGGATGTCAAAATGTCATCCATCTAGTTTTTTCCTTTACATATTTCATCCTATGATTGAAATTGCTTTAAAAATGAAATTTCTCCTAATTCCTATGATCAATTACACACTTATTACTGCTTATCATGGTTAAACTCGTATATCTAATTCAAATAAAATTAATTCTTTGATGGTATGGTACTAATGTATTTTTGGTCATTTTATTCATCACAATACGAAGAGAACAGTATAAAAAATCTAAATTATTCACGTTTTTCAATTTTAATTTTTGATACATTACAATATATCCCTTCACCACTCATTTTAAGACATTTCGAATACTGGCTAGGGTATGGATAGGTAATTTTATAATCTATTTAGTAAATACGATGCTATTAATAAAACTTAATAACTTATTAACAATATCTTGTTTTAGTTACATAATTCGATAAATATGTATAATTATGTATTTTTAGTTCATGTATTAAAAATATTTTAAACCCTCCCTCCCAACCTACTAAAATTGATCCCGAATACGTGCTAGAGATACATAATATGTGTTTAGCGTTCTGCAGGTGTCATTGAGGCCGGTCGGTAGTTTTATTTTACTATTCTGAGGGTATAAGCTCCTATCTATTGTACACTATTTAGTGTTCAATACATGTATATGATTGTTCTATTAACTATATATCTGAATGCACTTACCTCTCTCATATTAATAGTATTGTTCAATGTGCGAAACTTGTGCATTTGAGGAGATGACTTTACGAGGTCGAATTCGATACTCGGTATCTACGCAACGTGTAATTGAATTCTAAGTCGCTTTAAAACTTAATGTGGTAGAACAAGTTAATACAGTGGAGAAACGTCAACTATGCAAATATTTTGATTATACTCGGGTAGTCGAATACTACCGTTCATGTATGCTATTTTCTATATGTATTAGTGAGTATCGTTCTAATGTCTAATCGATCATCATTTATCTTAATTGTAATACAATCAAGGTAATGTCTAATATTAATATTTTATTTCATTAAATTTATTCTAATTCATGTAGTAGTCTAATATTATTATAAAATATATTCCAATACTATAATAATTTTAGTACATAGTAAATCTGGTATTAGCTATTAGGAAATTAATTACTCTAATACTACTGTAATTAAAATCTTTGATATAAGGGTCACTGAACACAGTATGTACCCAGTGATTTATTAAGAATTTAGTTTTTAATTATTTATTAGTAGAATATTTACCTACCCGGACGCCCCGTTGATCATATTCACACGATAATCAATGTGTTATGTAAAACATAACCTATATCTTTATCAATAATCTGAAAACATTTTAATTCAATATTTTTATTTAATGTACAACTTGAATGTTTAAAATTATTAAAATAACTTTAAAACGTCGATGTATAAAAAATACATTTTTCATATAAAAATCCTGGGTTATCAAGTTCGATTTTTAATGATTAAAATTTTTGGAATCATGATCACATGTTTTCATAATTTATTACCAATAAATAAACGAAAAAAAATTAAATTAATGGGTACCTAATTGTGGATTTATGTCCAACATATCGTATTAATTTAACTAATATGTATGTAAAAGTAATTACCACTAAAAACAAACCAAGATTGATGGTTAATATTAGATTACCATTTTAGTACTCAAAATAGGTACATTATAGTCTCACTGTTCAAATGACAAATTGTACATCCATATCCATAAAAACTTAAAACACCTTGACAACAAAATATACTGTGATTTGAATGTTATATTGCAACATTACAATGAGAGTATTTCAAAAAAATTGCATTTATTTAAATTCTATAATTTATTTATTTTTGTAATATTTATAGAGCTGTTATGAACAAAATGTTAAATACCAACAAAATGTTGAAAATAAAACATTAAATTACTGTTAGTACGACTATATTAGATGAAGGTAAGTTTCTCAAGTTCTCACTAAGAAATTGTGCATGAAAAGCATTTTAATGGATTTTTTTTACAAACAGCCTTTTAGATTATCTATTTTATTTATTACCTATTCATTTTTTTGAAAGGACAAAAACTATTTCATTACGAATATATTTATATGTAGCCATTTATATGAAATATCTTATTTTATTTGTACCTCATTATAGACGACAAATTACCCGAGTTACAAATAACAACGGTATTCGAGTTTGGAAGTAAGGAAGTACTGCTAAAATCTATTAACACACAAATCGTAGAAATTATTAATCAAGAAATGTCTAACATCGATGTTATAGATAGATTAATTTCGTTAATAAACTCAATATATAGGTGTACTGACTATCATTTTGAAGGAAGTAAAATATATCTTTTTGGATCACGTATGTCAGGTCTTGCACTTAAAGATAGTGACGTGGACTTATACTTTTCTATCGGTAATATTAATATTATATATTTAAAACTAAAAGTTTTGAAGTGCTGTCACTGGACACCTCCTTCACTCAAACAAACACGTTCAAAAGATAATATCTTTTACTTAGACATTAAATACAATCAGCCTTAAAACATACATTAATAATTCGGTATTGAAATTAAGTACCTATTCAGCTTAATATATTAGAGGATGTCTGCACATTTTTTTTCTCTTTCTGACTCCTGCACAACATGGCAAATTGTACGTTCACAATAATGATTATAATATCATAATAATTTCTAAAATTAAAGTGAAGTGACTCTTTCTATAATGTAAAGGTAAAATTATTATCTAGGGTATCGCATAGGCTTTTTAATATATTATGATTTTAAGGCGAGTTATGAGTATTTTAAGATGTACAAACATTTTACATTTTTAAAATACTTGTGAATGTAGAATTTGCCATGTTGCACGTAGGTCAGGGAGAGAAAAACGCGCAGACATCCTCTTAATGGGTATTTGTTGTTTTCACCGCAGCATCATGACATATATAAATTATATTTTAATTAATCGAAATATCAAATAAGGTAATCTTAATTGAGGCCAGAACTCGGATATATCTGTCCCTTTTTTATATATCCCCATACTTCTTAATTTTTTATTTAACTAAATCTCATGAAATAGATGTTTTGGGCGCGTGCACTTTGTATTACAGAATTGTAGGTGTAGTTAACCACATGGCATTGGGATCCTACATATGAAAATTCGATGAAGCTTTCCAACAATCTGATAAATCAATCAAAACTTATGTATTTTTTATGGTTGTTCAGCACCAAATACACCAAATACCCAGATTTAGGACATGTAATTGTGGCAAAAGTTCAATAATAGGGCTCAATAATATGGCGTATTGAATTTGTTGTGTTTTTCAGCAATGTATTTAAATGTAATAATTTGTCATAACAAATGTAACAAAATTAGATTTTGAAAAAAATGTGTTCAACGAGTTGTGACTATTTTTTGTTTATGAATTACTTAATTTTTTTTGGTCATTTTATACCATCGTTTTATACTTATTTACTAGTTCTTTATTAGGTAGTATTAATATAATTTTCAAATGTTCTACTGAAACTGTTTTTATTTTGTCATAGTTTATACTTTGTTAAAGGACTTATGCGACCAACCTAATTTTTAATGAAATTATATAGCTGGAACTTTTGGCGGAGCATTAAGTAATAATCGCTATTTTCAAAAGGAACTAGTACGTTACTTCGGAAAAATATTTTGTTGTCAAAATAATGAATATAAATATATACGACAAATAACTAGGGCACATGTGCCTATAGTCAAATTTTTACATGTCCCTACTGGCCTAAATTGTGATTTATCTTTCAAAAGTGGTCTCTGTACATTTAACACTAAACTAGTCAGGTAAATAATATACGATTTGTTATTAAATTAATTAATAAATTAATATTCTCAGTTTGTTATTTGACAATTCAGATTGTATTTATCATTGGATGAACGTGTTCACTGGGTAGTTTGTGCAGTCGTTAAACGTTGGGCGTTACAAAATGATATGAAAAAACAAAGTATGTTTACTAGCTTTGCTTTAGCATGGTTGGTTATCTATTATTTGATGGTGACTGAAATTGTACCTCCATTAAAATTACTCAGAGAGCATGCAGATTATTCAAAGAATACATCTGAATCAGATTTAATGTTCATAGAAGGTAAATTGTTTTTTGAAATAAGTATTCATGTACAGTATACATTGCATACGGTATACCTTTATTAAAATTCTAACTAAACATTATTATATGTAACTATCTATTTTAATAACTAGGTACAGATGTTTAGTATACCTACATATTTAGATATTTATAATGTTATATTAAACATTAATTCATATTTCTATTTCTTTTAGATTGGGATTGTACCTTCTGCACTCTAGAAAAAGCCAAACAAATTTGGGAAGTGCCAATGATTTCTTGTTGGGACTTATTATTTGGATTTTTTAAATATTATTCAGACTTTGAATATCTTAAGAAATTTGTTTTTTGTCCAGCTATTGGAAAAGCCATACCTAAAGACTATTTTCACGAAGTTCCAATCTTAAAACCAGATATATTAGGTTTTAACAAAAAAAAAATGGTAACTGTGTTGAGTGGTGTACAATGTTAAAAAATAAATTTCAGGGTGCAGGTCTTGCACTACAAGATCCTTTTGATCTTTTCAACAATTTAACAAAATGTATAGTGCCTAGAAAACTACAAACCTTCTCTCATTTATGCAATAAAACTATGGAAGTTATGAACAATGAAGTCCAAAAAAATATTATTTAAATTATATTGTATTACATAATTTGATAGTCAAAACAATTAAATTTAGTTTGATAAATAATTAATAAAGAAGTTTAATAAATTGTTAATTACTAGATTATATTTTTAATTCTGAGTGGATAGATGAATGTAATGATTTTAAAATGATGTGTGAGTTTTTTTAAAAATATTTTATATCTGTCATTACTTTTTGTAAACATGGCTTTGATTTTTAATTTTGAGTGTGGTTTTTGGTAGGAAATTAGATCTAGTTGTTTAATTTTTAGGGACAAAAGTAAAAAAATTCTCATTTGTAAGCAAAACAACCATATAACCATATATTTTATTAACTCAATATTTAGGTAATAACAATAATATTATAAAATTATATAGTAATTAGAGTAATTAAACACCAATCATAGAATAAATCCAATACTTTTGGCAAAAATTAAATCAATCTACCATTATACTCTAAGTAAAATAAATTACTTTTATAACAGTATCAAAAAACATTTTATAAAATATACTTGTTAAAGGACAACCGTCCCCGCAGAATCGTTTTTTCCATACAAGCCGCCACATCATACCTGTATTGAATTCAAATTATTAATACCAACCATTTCTGTAACCCACTCGACACTCATTGTTCAGCAGAGAGGTACCCACTCTCCTACCCTTTTACTCTACACTTTAGGTTGTTACTTGTTTGAGTACTGAATGCTTATATGTCTATTAATTCAGCCTTTAAACTTCAGCTATTATAGAATAAATTATTTATTATATAATAATATATCTTACATTTTGTATTAACAATTTTAATTTTCGTATAAAGGGAGTCTTTAATTTATAAATGAAATAACAAAATTGTATTTTATCGGTGAATTGATTGTTATTCGTTATAATGAACTTTCATTCATAACTTCAGTCTTAAATATTATTAAGCTGTAATTTTCTTAGGACCTATTATTAATTATACACATTTAAAATATACAAATTAATCATATACAATTGTCGTATACAATTATCCTGATTTATGCTATACTGTTTTATTTTATAGAAATTCATATTAAAATATTTTCATTTTTTTTATATAAGTGAACTATCAATAATATACTTTTTTTAATTTGTCTTTATTGGATATCAAAATGTTATAAATATTGTTGTACACAAACCAATTTAGTTATAATACGAGTATATGGGTAAATTATTATTAATTCATTGATAAATTCTGTAATATTAAAAATGTATTGTTAGCTTGGAGAGGCGTGGTCGTACGCTCAATCTGCTGCAACGCTCTGAGTGTACGTACAGGCCGTCCTCGCTAGCACTCGGATGGGTGATCGGTGATCACCCGGGTTTTTAACAACACATTTTGCCACACATACAAATACCTGTTTCAAATCAACCGTTTCCCCTGAAAAACCAGCTAATGGCCATAGTTGCCGGGCTTTAGATCAATAAAAAAAAAATGTGTTACATTTTAAAATTATACAGGTCAATGAAAGTTTAATAACAAGTTGCAGTTGACTTTTTAGGGGTAATTTTCTGATAATTTAACTAATACATTTTGAACCCAATTACCAACTAAACTCCAACATTGTTTATTCAGCTTCAAGCAGTGGCGTAGGAACTATTTTTGATAAGGGGGCCGGGGCAAAACATAAACTACCTAATCACTATTATTTATTTATATGTGATTGATAACAGAAAACGTATCTATTAATATATAATATATATATATATTTGAATGTTGATATAGGTAGTATACTATAATATAAGATATGAGAATTATATATTTATATATTTGAACAAGACACATAATTTATTTACTTAAAACCTGAAGACTGAAGTTATATTCAAAAGTAACATAATACTTAAATAATTATAAATAAATAAAGTATAAAAATAAAATAAAATAAACTTCACAGAGGAAAGAAATGTTTGGAAATATTAAAAAAAATTATAACCTACAAGTTTAACAAAAATTTCCAAATGTTGATTTGCTTTGTGAAGTTCTACACATTCCGGACGTTCATGAAAATAGGTCCAATTTAGAATAGGTACGTAAGTGTAATTTACGATTATTATTATTATTATTAATTATTTATTTATTTATTCATTTACTTAATTTACGATTGTATACGTTTTAATTTTAATGTGTTGGGGGATTATAATATTCCCCCTTTGTATTATATCTGAGTGGATAACTGCCCCCTTCCTCTAACTCCACTATCTTCATGGATCATATCGTGCTCTATTTCATTTCAATTTGTATGTTAATGATATGTTCTTAATGTTGTTTGTTCGAGCTTACCACTTTTTTGTTAATAATTTTAAACTAATAACTATTTTGTATTAAAAGGACTTCGCAAGATATTGAACTGCTTTAGCATGATCGTATTAGACATTAGTAATTGGTGTGATACAAAAGAGTTACACTTGAATTGTGTTTTAAAGTGGAAAATAATTACCTTCTCAAAAAGACGTTATTTTTTATTAAAAAAATATTTCTTTAATGAAGTTGAACATACCTAAATTGATAATATTTTTTTCTTCTTAAAAAATTATTATTTTTTCATTATAATATGAATTGTATTGAAAAAAATACTAAAATATACACGGCATTTTAAAAATGTTCCATAATATGCATAAATATGCAAAATTCAATTTTTCACACCAACTCATTAGGCTAAGATTCAAATATATGCCTTAACTTCCTACTTTTTAAACAGATAAAGAAATATATGCAAATGCATAATATAATTGTGGGCTCTACTCATTAGTATCTATTTACATAATTGTTATTATTACTTTTTATTCAGTTTTCAATCTACATTTTTTTAAATAAGAATAAATACTATCAAAAATGAACCAAACAAAATTACATTTGCTTCGCCGATCAGTTATCAAAAAACTATGAGGTACAAGGTACCTTGTACGTTCAATATAAAATGATTTAATAAAAGCGAACATTTAAATATTTATCAAATAGCATAATGCTGAAAGTTGAAACATCTGTTTAAATACCATATGCTTTCAGGCGTATGTTGTATTGTCATTAAGTGAATACTAAGCAGTCATACTTAACACATTAATGCATACAAACGTATACTATATGCAGTCGTATTGTTGTATATTTCAGTCATTGTACAATTTTATTGGTGTATACATTTTGTCACATACAACATTTGATAATGGTAAGTGAATTAATATTGAATTATTAATGATTATTATTTTGCAACTTGAAGTTTATTTTATGATTTTAAATTAATTTAGCGATAAAAATGAATATTATACATCAACAGATACTTATAGTTTTATTGAGTACAATAATGAGATTAGAGATACGAATTTAAAATATGAAATTACTTGTTCAGATAATTATAGTAATTATACTATACCGTATGCACCGAATATTCAAAAATAGGATTTTAGTTAGGAAATATTTGGTTATACTAGATATTATTTATTATTTAACAGTAGGTAGGTATTGTCGCCTATTCAATATCTTCATTCACACAATATTCCTTTTTTAACTTGCGCTGCAATACAATATAATGAACTCTTTATATTTTGTATTTATTCATTAATATTAATTATGTAGTCATTTCCAAGCTTAAAATATTTATTTAATACAATTACAACTGGTCTTAAGAACAATTGTAGAAGATTCATCTTTTTTAAACATACATCACGAGAATTTCATATAAATATTATAAAACTATTTTTGCTTAATATTTAGATGAAAAAAAAAATAATCTTAAATCTGATAATTAAAATATAACATACCAATATATGAGACTTTTTAATGAGACATGCGTTGAATAACTTCATAATATTTCAATATGTTACGGTGCTGATTACAAAGAGTACGTAGGTACATGCTCTAAGGGGGATTTGGGAAGTGGTTGATAAAGTAAGTCATTTTTTTTACTTGAAATCTCTTGATCGACTATTCAATCTTATTTTAGAAAATGTAATAGACAGTGTGAATTATAAATAATCATTGAAACGTATTTGATATGATATAATTATGATTTCATTTATATTTTCAGGAATACTTTTTATGGATAATTAGAAATGGATTTATTACGGTGTGGTTATCATTCTGTTTTATCGTGTCGATAATAACCATCATTGTTTATTTCACTATCGATGAGCCTAAATATTCTAAACCCCAAATTATAAAATCAAGATCACTTAAATTTGAAACATTATTGAACGATAACCTACTTGATTTCGAAGCAACATGGATTTCAGGTAGGTACATAAAAATGCATGTGTTATTAGTTATTACTTATTATTATTAAAAAAAGATTTCTGAGCATTTCTCAAGGAAAGTTGTTTTAATGTTTGTCCTTTTTCTGTTAGGTACCTACCTAAATAACGGCTATCTTCGTACAAATGTAAACATAATATTGTGTATTGTACCTGTATACAGTGTGTTTCTTACGAACTGCACTCTACAATGATAGGTATGCAACAGCCTCCAAAACCCCCTTATAACGGACCCCCTATGAGATGAAAATTTACTTACAATAGAAAATAACAACAGTGCTGTACAGTCTATATAGGTACTGTATATTATAGTCTCCAATGTCTCCATGTAACTCCAGAAAAATCAGTTGGTACCTAGCGATTCCGTTGTAAGGTGGTTTTACTGTTCTATTATATGTACATTTATAGGTATATATAAAAAAGTAACATAACTTTTAACTTAAATTAAGTTATTATTATTATACTGAAATTAGTAACTTAACTTAGTTACTCAAATTTATTTATATTTTAAAATCAACTTTAACTTAGCTTATAGTTAATATTTTATTTTAGAATAATTTAACTTTAACCAGTTAAAAAATTGATTAACTTGACCAGGTTTAGTTTTCCAACCCTACTCATTAAATATGTTTCTATCTGTATTTTTTTTGTTTATATTTTTAATAAAATATTATCTATGTGGAACATTATTATTGTTCTTTTAATTTTGATTTTTATACCAATTAGATGAAGATATAATGACACGGGATGAAAACGGAAATATTATTTTATTGGATGTTAATAAATCGATTAAATCAGTTTTAGCATTCAATTCAATGCAGGTAAACACACATACAAGTATAAATTTATAACTGAACGATTCCATAAATGTTAAATGTCGTGTTCATTTAAATTTTAATATTTTAGCATATGAAACTCTGTCACAAATATGCACTTTCAGCTGACAAAAAATACTTATTAATAGCTTATAATCTCAATAAGGTAATTTTTTTTATTCAATTATGAATATATTTTTATTACATATTACAAAGTCTATAGTAGGGCTATTAGTCAAAAATGTTTTCCATCCTTTCTGGGCATTAAAATGTCTAGTGCATTTTAATGTGGCCCCCCTATCGATCAAATATAAATTACATGTGATACATTAAAAGTTTTTTTAAATTGCAAAATGTATATTTTTAGACGGAGAAATTCTTCTGAGAATAAACACGAGCTCATTGTTTTAAAAACTATAAATGTTTTTCAAAATATTTTTTTGCACAATTTGAAGTCATTAAAAAACATTTTATGAACAAATTATAGTCTTAACTATTATGCATTATTTATAATATTTGAAGTCTTTACTTTTTTGGATAACAACTTTCTTTTTTAATGGATAAAGAAGAACATTTTTCTGAGAAATTATATACACATACATCAAATTTTAAACCATTAGTCAATTGGAAGGTACCTGTTTAAAGTTTAAATGAGCAAGAGCGACATTTTGCAAAGTTCTCTTGTTCAACTGTGTCACTCGATTCGGCTCATTAAAGCATTAAATGGGGTACTTACATATAGGCAACTTTTTAACAAGGTACTTAATCGAAATTTAATTTTACAATTTAAAATTCTCTGAAAAATATTCTGCTTTAGAGTAACCAATTAAAACCATGTATTGTACTTAAACAAAATTATAACTGAATAATAAAATGAGAAGAAGAATTTTTTTCTTAAACGTTTCTTGTTTTCTTGTGATTATGAGTATTTACTGATAAAAAAAAAAAGAATCAAAATGTAATATATTTTTCATAATTTTATATACAATATACCAATGGAATAAAAGATAGAAAAAATTAATGCTTCTTTTGTTATTAATTATTGTACTTATTATACCTATTCAGCTAACATTTATCTAAATATTAAATGGTCATCAAATTATTTTTATATATAAGTTTATAAGTTGGCATATTAGAATGTTTGAAATAATTTAATCCAAAATTCTCATGCTTGTTATTATATGCCTATGGGCATGACTAGAAAATGTTAGTGGACACTAAATGATTACTGCATACCTATACTTTACTGATACCATACTTAAGAAAAAAAAACTAAAAGATGAGTTCCCAGCGTTTAAAATATTATGTATTAGTCCATTTTTTAAATTCAGAGTGATTATTTTACACATTTTCTAGTAGATTTTGAAAAACTAACAGAGAGATAAAAAAACAAATGGTGAAGAAACAGCTATCGAGGCATCTGTTTAAAACAAAACCTTGAACAATTTGACTAAACTAAACTCCGATCTAATCATTTTTAGAATGAAATAACATTTCATTCCTTTGAAATGTAGAAAACTCGCCTTAGTTGGCCACTTAACTTTGGTATCTGACTATTTGTAGCATAACATTTTCTGTTTTTTTTTTATTTTTGTTTAAATGTACTGAATAAATAATATTCATAATTTCATAAATTCAATCTTAAAGTTTTATTTTATCTGAAATGTTTTTTTTCATGACGAAGACTTATAGTTATTTATCGACAGCAACCTATGACGTAATCAACATTAAATCTGGGTAAGTTTAAGGCATTTAACTAGTTAACGTATTTATGAATCTATTACATGCCTTTTCGTTTTGTTTTGATGAATACACATTTTTAATAATAATATATGCATTGAATAATATTATTGACTAAGTATGTACCTAGTAAATAATAATAGGCGCTATAAATCAAATTTAATATAGTAATTCTTTAAATTAAGGAATGAAAAATAGTATGTATATAAATAGTTATATTACAGAAAGACAGAACGTTTTTTAGAGTACTTTGATTTATAAAAACCAAATTTTGGACAAGTAGCTTATGGTTTTTTCAAATATTTAAAACTTCATTAAATGGAGTGAGTGGTACAGGGGCACTCCGCAAAATGTTCGTCTACTCAGCTAATAATTTAAACTGAAGACGCTTAAACTAATAAACTAATTTTCTAAAATTTGTTTTTAAAAATCAAATAGTTTGAATAATATTCTGCTTTGGAACATGAAATTAAAAATGTTAGTTGTTATTCAAAAGAGTAAAAACTTAAAAAATATTTCATATTTAAAAAGAAAACATCGAAGACTTTTTCCCGTTTATACCGTTGATTGACATAAATTATGAATTATCAATATTAAATGTTAATACAAGTTTTATTATTTTACCTATAAATTCGGGGTATTTGCTTAAAGTAATTACTACAAGGCGGTGGAGGTGCCAACTTGTTATGTGGATATTACTAGCTCTCTTGAAAAATGATAAGAGTTCTTTTATTTTTCAAACGCCTTTTTTAGGACATGGTTTTATGTTCTTTCCTTACTTATATTGTTACTTGGTTTCCCTGGAGTTTATATATTATATTGAAATATTGAAAATTATATTGAAATTTAGAGAAACTGTCTGACACAAAACATTAATAACAAGGAAAGTTTAGGTTTTTTGATTGTTCGCAGAGCAGTGCAAATGTATAATAAACTAATTAATAACTTTTTAATTAGATAGACTTTATACGAATATTATAAAATAATATTTATTAGTTTATGACATAATAAAATTATTAAAGATATATTTTTATGTAGGTCATCATTAACAACAGTTACCAGCTCGATTATAATATTTGATTAGTTAGCAATACATTTGTTATCAACAATTATTAAAAAAAAATAAAAATTTAAATTTTCCTATGCTTATAAATAGCTTAACAAGAATCAAAATATTTTTTAAATGTTATGGTGTATATAAAATTGTATTATGAACATTCGTCATTCAGTGAAAATTGCATGTATCTATGGTTATTTTTTTCTGAGTTATGCCAAAAATAAAAATCAATCTTTTCTTAGTTTTTTTTTTTGTTTGCACGATGCATTTGAGTGCACCAACTAGATTTACTTCCCCGCCAGAAAAATGACTGAAGTTGTAAATCGAAGCATTATTTCTACTACATACTTATCGTACACATGGAAACTAAAAAAAACACATTGTGAAATCAATACATTCATTGCTCCGCTCAGAATCTAAAATGGACATTGCACGCCTTAACATATATATGTATATATAATACATATGCCACGAATTATGATAATGAGTGGAGTATGAGTTACGACTAAAAGTAAAAATAATAGTAATTTGTATAATATTTTACTAATACGTAAATAACCAAATATTATGACCTTTACCCATATGAATGTAAATAACTGATAAAAAAATTTGTTGGATCTGTGATGAATTTGCTTTCAGTTAGCTGACAGTGCAAAAAACTTAATACATTTAGACCGTATTAATTTAGGAAGTAGAGTTTCTTCAAAGTAAAGAAACAAATGTGTACATTATATACTAATATGTATAGTTTTAGCCCTTGGTACCTTTAAACCTACATGGCTACATATATATATATATATATATATATATTATTCAATAATTTTATTTTGTTTTGTCAGGAAACAAGTAACACTTAGAGATACAAAACATAATCCAAGAGAAATAATGATCGCCAAATGGTCCCCTACTGATTCAAGTCTCGTCATTGTTGACAACTACAATATATATTATGTACCCACAGTTGCAAAACCAAACCATGTTAAACAAATAACTTTCCATGGATCTCAAGATTTGTATAACGGTATCCCTGATTGGGTGTACACAGGAAAGTACATTTATTATAAATTAATGATGTCTAAGTTTCAATGTTTCACAAATAATAATCTGCATTTGTGAAACAACAACTTTAATACTTTACTGTCGTATTTTTACTTAAGTAAATACAAACATTTCTAATTTATATAGGTACCTATATCTCATATTTTATAGTGTGATTTTCAGAATATAAATAATATATTTTGAATAACCATATGGTCTAAATTATATTACAGGCCATAATATATTATAGTTGAATCCTTTTTGATCTCAGAAATACTTGTATAATAAAGTGCATGTAACACATAATATTTTTGATTAGTCAGTCACTACTTACTTCTCGTGTAAGAGAAACAAAATCAATATATAGTCACTTCACCCAAGCTATCGCCAAAAAGACGTTTTCATCAATAATATAATAGCATACCTATTAATAATATAATAATACTAAATAATATAAAAACATAGAAATTAAAATGTATATATATATATATATATAAAGTGCCTATATTTATTCACGAAAGATTTTTTTAAAATAATTTTAACCTTTATAATCACGCCTTTATAATGTAAAAGTATAGTGATTATTTTTTAAATTTTTTAGAAGAAATCTTTGAATCGAATTCTGCAATGTGGTTTTCTAATCGGGGAAAAAATTTAGCCTACGCGACTTTTAATGAAAAATTGGTACCAACGGTATATTTACCAACATATGGCATACCAGATACTATGTATGACCAATACAGCAAAATTCTTAGTTATCATTATCCAAAAGTATTATATCAAAATAGTATACGTACAAACATAATGTAATTAATTTAAATAATAAAATATTAAATATTACAGGTTAATGACCCCAATCCAATCGTTGAATTATTCGTGCAAATTCTAAATATAACAAACGACGAACCCACGCCTATACCGATAAAACCAGTAAAACAATATACGTAAGTACCGGCAACACAACGATATTCGATAGTATGTATGTGTACTGTGTACGGAGTACCTAAAAGTTAAAATGTAGCTACTTAAAGTTTAATATAATAGACATTAAAACTCAAAAAGAAATTTTAAGCACTTAAAAACATTCAAAATTATGTTTCTTTTAGTAATGAGACAATACTATATACAGTTGGATGGTCGGGCGATGAACATTTGTTTGTAATGTGGATGAATAGAATTCAAAATGAATCTCATCTCGTACATTACCATATTTCTAATAATACGGCTGAAGTTAAGGAAGTGAGTGAAAATACTGTAGGGTTTTAAAATGTCATGTAGGTATACAGCATAGTTACAAAATTGTATTTGACAGATGATGGAATTTCAACAAAAAAACGGTTGGCTCAATTTTCGACAGTCACTCTTGATTAATCCCGAAAACCAGATTGCGTTATTGTATCCAACAGAACAAGACGACGGTGATATGTACAGACATGTTTGCGTGATATCGAGTGGCAAAATAATGCCAATAACCATTGGCAAATTTGAAGTCGACCAACTCATAAAATGGGACTTTGAATTGAATTATATGTAAGCCCTAGTTAAGTGCATAGCTACTATATAATAATATTAATAATTTTTTACTGATGGAATAATTCTAATTATTATTTTTTTATCTAAATAAACATACAAGAATATTATATAATTATAAAATATACAGAATAATAATAAAAAGAAAACTTTAAGTAATCCATACTAGGTACTTAAATTATAGCTTAGAGTTAATAATAAGAAGTTGAAATAGTAATAATAATAAAATAATAATTTAGTATAGTTAATGTTTTTGAAAATGTGTATTATGTCATGTTAAAGACGTTTATATTACTATTTGAGTTTCTCTCACACATACGAATATTTTTAGCAGTATATTATATGACATATATTTCGATTTAATAAATGGGAGATAAAATATTGATTTATTTCATTTAGTTAACTTGTGTTAGGATTGAATTGTTTATATTTTACACACAATACTATCATAATTATTGGGTAAAAATATCAAGATTTAGGATTATTATTTTTTGAATTACAATAAGCCATTAGGTAAATAACAAAAGCGCTTGATAAATAAAATATGTTCGTTTTTTTTTTTTGGATTCCCTAATAGTTTTTTTTTACTCTCAAAGAAACTAATAAGAAAATCACTGGCATTTCATCTCCAACGTGTACCTATATAGTAATTTGATAGTACCTGCTTACATTTTCCAATGGAAAGGTTACATTAAAACACTCATTTTACAGCAAAAAACTAAAAAAAATCATATTATAAATTATAATAATATTCAATAACTTCCTCACTTAGTTCAGAATCTAAAATATTAACAAAATAATAATTTATCTTTTTTCCTTCAATGTATACAATTAGTAAAATAAAGATAAAAGAACATTTCCTCCTTATTATATGCCGTCATAATTCATAATGTTATGTTATTATTATACCGAGGTAATATTATATACATAAATACAATTACCCATTTAAGTTTGAAACCAAAGATGATTATGAAATATTGTTAAGTCATATACCTAATCATTATTTTTACCTAGGCGCCTATTAGTATAAATTTATGACACATTTTTTTTTACTCCAATTTATTTTACCGTAAATTGTTTTCTACTGATCGTTTGTTATTTAATACTATCTGCTGTGATAATTTTTCCAGATATTATTTAGCCAACATAGAGCATAGTTCCGAAGTACAGCATTTGTTCAGAGTGCATATAGATTTGAAACAACAGCCGGCCAAACCAGAATGTTTGACTTGTAACACGGAATGCACTTTCAGCAGCGCACTGCTCAGTGAAAAAAATACTTATTACGCACACATATGTACGGGGCCAAACATACCTTACGTGAACATAATGAAAACTGTATGCACTTGTCTTACATTATTATTATTAGTTAAATCTGCTTTTATCATAATATTATCGTGTAGCTATAATACGTATGTTGATTGTAGATTAAGAAATTGTTTCTTTTACAATAATTATAGTTAAATCGTATACAGTTAGTCCCGTTTACCACAACAACTGACTTTCAGGTACGTATTATGGCGATTGGTATAAAATATATTAAATACACGAATTCTATTTAAAATATAGAAAATATATCTTGGGAATAAAATAAAAATATTAATATCGATGAACATTAAACCATGAAATGGTAATATATTGTGATGTTCAAATAGATTTAAAAATGTTTTAATTTTAATCGAAAAATAATTTAATTTAATTTAATTTAGTTTAGGTAAGTACCTGTAGGTATATTGGGACATTAGTCATTTCGACAAAAAATATTATGAATCATTATCTAATAATCATTATTTTAATGAAATAGGAAAAGTAATAGATTAAAAAAAAAAAATTTTAAAAAATGAAACTAAATATATATAACTATATAACATGTAACAGTGTGTTTATACTTCAAAAATAATGAAAATAAATTTGACAACTCAAAATTAAGTATTAACTTATATCTTACCCAAATAATACTAAAATAATAATAGGATACTCCATACTTTTTGGTCACATGAATAAATGATACACTTGCAGCTTAGTCAATAGTTTTTATCATTAATATTTATTTACCATCTTACCAATGTATAAACATGTATTTTTTTTTCAAGAATGGTGATCATATTACTGTTTGGAAAACAAATAAAAAACTGACTACAGAATTAAAAAATGTCGCTTTACCTAGCGTGAGGTATTTAAATGTTCCACTTACCGATGACTTTGAAGCTCGTGTCAAATTGTTAATTCCACCGATTGTTGATACTTCATCGGGCAATAAATATCCGTTATTAATTTACGCGTAAGTATAGGTATAAAGGCATTAATGTATTATGCTATAATAATATGTACCTGTGTGAAAAAAAGGACTGTAAAATTAACAACTCCGTTGAAAGATATAGCCATTAAATTTACGATACTATATGATATGACCTACCTACGTCTTTTTTCATTCGGGCATTGAAATAATGAAGTTAGATCCAATGGCGTGCGCAGGAATTTGGTGGGAAGATGTCGTAAAATAATTTGTATGATATTATAAATAACATATATAATATAATATGTACTATTGTACTATATAGGTATACTCCGCTTAACCTAGACTGTCCAATGTCCAGTTGTATTTCTTATATACGTTTAAGTGTAGAAAAACGTCCCGAGTACAATCATGTTTAAGGAATAAAAAAAACACGGCTCGCTCTGCGTACGACACTGGTCAGGCCCTCATATTAAGCCTACTGCCAGTATTTTCAAAATATTATAACTAATGAGGTATATGATGACAAATAAATGGTTCGGTATCAATCGTTCGGTTTGGCTGAGTCGGCTTTGTAACGTCGGGTTTTTAGACTCTAGTTTGCATTTAGTGGAAGATTATTAAAGTTATAGGTGCCTGAGGAAAAGTATAAGGAGCTCAAGTAACGTCACCAACGATGAAATGCTGTCAGGAAAAAATCGTTCTAACTTCCAATTGCAAGTGGTGTTCGTGTTCCTTGTGTACGTCCAATATTTGCTCAAAGAACTTGGGATAGGTATTTCAAGCTTTCACAATCGTGCTGATATTGTGTTAAGGAGATTGCGAAAAGTCAGGGACTCAAATCAAATAATAATTAGAGCAATGTGCAAATATTTTTTTGAATATATCATCATACATCATAATAAAATTATAGTAAATAATTAGGCAAGGGAGGATTGATGACAGTCGTGATGCGAAAAATTGGGAGCTTAAAACGACCTTTTTATGTATAAATTTATCGGGTTCGGTCATTTTTAGGATTAATAGGATTGGTAATAATACTTATTAATCATTTAAATTAAAAATAACACTTATATTATTTAGTAAAACTTTAGTTACTTTAAATAAATACAATAAAAACATACAATTATGAACACTTATTATAAATCGTATAACTTATTTATATTAAAATAATCTAGGTAACACAAATAAATGACAGTTGTAAAATGTACATACTACTTAATATAAAAATATATTAAATATATTATATCTGATAGTATCATTATAGTGCTACTCCGTTTTAATATATTATTCCAAACGATGTTGGACAGTGGAATCGATTAGGCCCATAATTATATTTATAGCTAGCGATAATACTAACAAATAGGTATTTGAATAATTTTAAAAGATAACCGCGGTGTATAATATATATTGGCCGACTGACTAAATTCGAACTGCAGCAATAGATATTATATTGACTAAATGTTAGTTCTCAAGGGGGAGGGGGTGTCATATCCTCTTTCTACTATCCACGGAATGAAAATAATAACTACATACTATTGGTATTTTGTTTACTTTTGGACAAAGTTTCAATAATATAATTATAATATGTATATATAGGTATATCCGTGTGGAGCGGCTTTTGACGCGCGGCATAATTTTCGCTGTGTGTGGATGGTCATTTTATATTTTACTCAAAATAATCCTCGGACTCAATTCGTATACAATTAGTTTCCTAACCCCGGACTCAATTAGTATATGTCTCGTTTGTACCCGGGACTCAATTAGTATATTAATTTTTTCCGTTCAGGTACGGGGACTCAATTAGTACACAGCGGAGCACTCTGATTCATTATCTATTATGTACCTTTATATATAACATTAAAACGTAATAAATTATGTATAATATACCATTATTAAGTGATGCATATGAACCTTCTAGATTATTAGGTGGTTAGTTCAATATAAGTAACCACAGAGTGAATTTGTACTTTAGTCTTTAATGTAAGCACTTTTGGACTAAATCGAGTTTGTGGTTAATAATAATTTCATTATACCCTGTTCGTAATTTATGGATTTGGTGTATCTAATTTTAGACCACCCACTTGTAATTCATATTACAGTGGGTTCTATACTTTCATCCTGTATTATAGCAGATATACTTACTCGTATTATAAGATTATCAGGTTTAATTACTTTATTTAAAATCATCAAATGGATTGACAATTAAATTAATAATAATTAATAATTTATTATAATATTTTTTTAATTTGTTTTTATTTTTTATATAGTTACGGTGGTCCCACGTTTAATGTGGCATTGGACAAGTTCGATGTTGATCTGAACATGTATTTAAGTATAAACCATGACATTGTTGTGGCTGAAGTCGATGGCCGTGGAACAGGACGAAGAGGTAGTAATACATTATTTGCAAATTATAAGAAATTGGGTTCAACTGAAATATATGATCAAACCATTATCGCAAAGTAAGTAAAATATCACACAATGATTATATTTTAGAACTATATATACCTACATTACACAGATATAGGTATGACCTAATCTAACAGTAAATTTATATATTTTTATATTTGTTTTTATGATAGTCAATATCATATTATGTGGTCAATGATTTAAGGTTGTTATCGGATGGCAATTAATTTTAATAAAAACAATAAATTATTCGATGTTTTTGCTAAAATCAATTCCTTGATCAAAATACTCTCCTTTAATTCATATGTAATGATTTATGAATTAATGATGTATACCTAATCAATACTGTAATACGAAATACATGTCCTAATACCTAAATACCCCCTACATTAGTATCATTACCTATAGGTAATATTTAATGTAATTAAATTTAAATTTCAACAGATTTCTATCAAGCAATCTGTCGTTCGTTGACAAAAATAAAGTTGGAATTTGGGGATGGAGTTTTGGCGGTTACGTTGCCGGTATGGCTTTAGCCAAGGATGTCGAGGAAATATTTAAATGCGCATTGTCTGTAGCACCTGTCACGGACTGGATATATTATGGTTTTGTATAAATTAATTTTGTTTTATCTTTTATTATTATTGTTAGTTGTTATTATTATAGTTTCCGATTTATTTATTTATTTATTACGTACCTACATTAGACTAGGTATAGCTCAGCAGAGTAAAATGTTTATAGGTACTAGGTAGTTGTACAAGTACCTTAACAGATCCGTATTTAAGATTTTGGCGCCCGTGGGCAACAAAATTTTAGCGCCCCCCCCTCCTGCCCACTTTGCTAATAATTAAATTTAAAACTAGTTGGTAAGTAATACTACTAATACTAATTATAGGTATTAGTGGTGTCTGTGTTTAGTATTTAAGTAAAATTAAAAAAAAAAAAACTAAGCAAATGCAGTGGCCTGGTAAATATTAATAATATATTTAAAAATGTAAAAAATAACAGAATATAAGTAATATATTAATAAAATATAAAATAAACATAAAATATATAACATATTATTAAATACATTATAATATATAAAATCATTACTTCAGTTTTTTGTTCTTGCTAGGTAAAAAATAACAGAATTTAGGTTATATACTAATGAAATATAAAATCTATAACATACTATCAAATTCCTTATAATATATAAAATCATTACTTCAGTTTTTTTCTTGCTTGTTTTGCTGCAAATGTTTTTATCACATCTGAGTAGGCAATTTAAGCTTTTAGTAAGAGTAGCTTCTATGTTAAGAACTGCAAGACTATTAAGTCTTTCTGTAGACATAGATGATCTTAAATAATTTTTTATTCTACGGAGTGTAGAAAAAGACCTTTCGGTGCAATAGTTGGAGGCCAAATTACAAAGAAACATTCTTAAAGCTACATCAACATAAGGACAAATTGTAACGAATTGTTTTTCTTTTATAAATTTACTCATGTCTAATAGGGCTTTAAGAGGGTTGGTGGTTAATTTTAATACTCGTTGAAAATTTTTTTTAAACCAACAAAGTGTATAATGAAGTTATTGTATTAATGTAATTTTAACTAAATTAATATTAATCATTTTAAACATGTATTAAATGTAACTACGAGAGCTAAATTATAAAACATAAAACTAATACCTAACCGACAGTTGCTAAAAATACTTACCTTTTATTTCTTTTTTTGAAAAAAAATCAAATATTTTTGGAAGTTTTGAAATATTATTTTCAATTTGCAATTTTCTTTTTATGTTTGCAGCTCCGCAAAGTTTTTTTTTTTTTTTGATTCATTTTATATCAATAATAAATATATTAAGTATAATATATTTTAATATGAATCCTATAAATGAAACTTAAACATAGTAAATCAGTTTTGCTGTGGACTTCACAAAACAGCACTACAGAAGACAGACAAAACACAGTACAATTTTGACGATAGTCGATATGATCATACGACAAGTAATAAGTATAGGAACGATCAACGAATGAACGCAAAACAATAAAACAATATTATTCTTATCGTATGATGGCCGATGGATATGAGTATAATACTATAATTATAAATTATTGTTGTTCTTAGCAAACCGTAAATTCTGGGGGCCTACTTACCAGTGATATGGGAAATACGGGCGATACCGATACGGCAAAAAATAAATAATATCCGCCGTGACCGTGCTTGCCGCTCGGAATTCGGAGGCTGTTGTAATATTCCGCGGTTATAGATTGGGAAACAAATAACAATATTGTACAATTATTGTCAATTACCTATAATAATTATAATATATTATAATTATAATAATTTATAATATTTAGTATTTTGTATTATATTATATTTTAATTATTAAAATATTGTATAATTTTTGCGAAAACTTTTTTATAGTCTCCGTAAAAATTTTGGCGCCCCCTTGACATATTCCAGGGGGGGCTATTGCCCCTCCGAACCACCCCTTAAATACGGCGCTGAGTACCTACAGTATTATTTTATAACAATATACAATAATTATGACAGCCACCATGTACATTGTGCCCTGGGGCTCGAGCATTGATTAAAATTTTTGAAAGGGGCTAAGCACCCGCTAGAAATATTAAGATTTTTTATTTAAATTAATATTTATTATTTTACAGGTAATTGGAATTCTAACCAAATGTTTATTTTATCATTTTCTATATAAAAAATAAAATTTTCAAAATAATTTGACAACGTTTGAGATATGTATAGAAATTTTTAATTTTACATTTTTTAGCTTTTTTTTCATTAAATGTCAATACAATTTTTCGTTTGATTGAGATGCTTGAGCATTTAATACAAGGTTCCTCATAAGTTTTTATAATATCAGTTAACAAATAATAAAGATACATTGGCACGATTTATTTTTTATAAGTATTTAAAGTTCAAATGTTTACAAAATTCATCAAAATCTAGAAAAATTTGAAAATTACTCTTAAAATTTATAAAATTATTAATATTTGTATAGCTAAGGATTGAAAATGTAAAACAAGGATATTCATAAATAGCTCATAATGAAACCAAAAACATCTAAAAATTATACTAACATATTTTTTTTTTAATTTCTATTTTAAGTTCGAATTTGAACGAAATTGATATTTAAACGAAGAATAAAGATTTTAATTATTTTTCTGTAATTTAAAAATATTATTCATGGGTACATGATACTTTTTAAGTATATTTTTATATTTTACACACACAAATACAAAATGCCATTTCAAGTAAAATAAATTACTCATAAATAAACTAAATCACAAAAATATCATGAAATAGACCTCGTAATAATATATAGTCTGAATTTAAATTTAATCCATCCGTTACAGCGACCCACTCGACAACTAATGTACTGTAGAGCGATACCCACTTGCCCACTTTTAGTTTTAATTAGTATTGTAATCATTGGTGGTGAAATTGCAATTTGTATAATACCTATAGTATTATTATTCATAAATATGGTACTTATACAGTGGCGGCTTGACGTTTAACTTGGCCTGAAGGTTCTTAATTATTAGTTTTGCGGAGTCTTAACCATTTTTGAAATGTAGTGAGATAATAATACTTTTATATAATATATTCACATTTAGCGAGAAACTCCAAAAACCTGACACCGATGAACGATAATATATGAAATAACACTTTTTTAAATGGAGAGTTCTAAAAGCACGGGCAACCGTTTTAATTTTATAAAACCAGGCGCCTATGAGCTATTAATTATAATATTATATATTATAAGGATATAAGGTTATCGAAGACTCATTTCCTATGATTGCGTATCAACCATGGTAGGTAAGATGTAGGAAACAAGAATATATTCATTTACAGTTTTCTATTAGTCATAATTTATTAGTAAGCTAATAGAGCTAGTCGATGACGGGAGATGATTCGTCTAGCCGTACTTCTGAACGTTAAGTGGTAATGGTATAATTCTTATTTTAAGGAAAAACATTAATATTTAAGAAAATTTACCTGTACATTAATTATATTATCATAATATATATACTTGATGACGAAACTATGCTGATATTATAGATAACGAAAATAACTCTAAAATGCGACAGCTCAGAGTAAACAATTGAGTGTCTTTAACTGATGGACTAATGTTATATTTATCTTTATTTGAACAAACTTTTAGACTCAATATATACCGAACGGCTTATGGATACATACAACGAAAATTTCGAGAGTTATCGAAATGCTAGTTTGATAGAAAATTCTGACGGTTTACGTAACAAAAAATATATGGTTATTCATGGACTTGCTGACATTAATGTTCATTTTCAACACTCCGCGATGTTATCCAAAGAACTACAACATAATGCCATAACATTTCAACAGCAAGTAGGTGTTTTAAATGTCTATAATCATCGGACAAATTCTAACAGTTGTTAATTTAATATTTTAGTTTTACCCTGACGAAACTCATTCATTATCAAACGTGAGCAATCAACTTTATCGTACAATTATTTTATTTATTTTAAGATTTTTAGTATAAAGTGTAATTTGATGAATCAATATCCTTAAAAGTTGTCATATTATAAGAAAATAATATTATTTAACTATGTTCATTGTACGTTTTTTATTTTATGTTGTGTAGTATCAAGAGTTTAAATTGTCAATAAAATTATTCCATTTTTGAATTGTTTTTTATTTATTTATTTCTATCATTATAGGCTATGAGATCAAAAGTAACCTGCTAACACTATTTTTTGAAATCGGAAAAATTGATTTTTTCAGTGCATACATTTCACTCTAACGGTGTTATATGCATTTCTAAACCTAGTTATCAAATGCTCCGTTAGATAGAAGCACTTAATGTACCTATCAAAAAAATATTGTTCTTACCTCGAAATAAAAATATGCGACGAATCTAGCTAGAGAGTGGGTTAGGCAGCTTTTGTTCTCAAAGTCTCTAAAGCTCTAAATAAGAATTTTAAGTCTTTCTCTGGGAATTCACAAAAGAATTCCACTGAAAATACCCGAAAACTGAATAGCACAAAAACCCACGAGATAAAAAATTACCAAAGAAAACTAATGTCCTTTACTTTAGCTTTTAAGACTGTTCTGATTTTGATTTTTTGGACGTTTTTTTGGTTTTACATTATTAATCATACTACTAATATGTAGCTAATATGATTGGAAATGTTATACAACATTTCTCAAATGTAGTAGTAATTTATACTCTTAACCAAAATATCTAAAAATATATTATAAGCACATATTTTTTTTACTGACATCTTAAGTTCAATGCTGGGAGAAAGTAGATATTTAAATGATGAACAACGATTTTAGTTACTTTCCATACTTACTATTCAGCAGAGTGGTTACTTATTTCCCTTTTTTTTGTATATAATATTTTACATTATATTATATTTCTCGTATTTAAGTTAAAACTAAAACAGTAAAAACAAGGTTAGAAAAAACCTTAAATAATTAAATTTCAATAATAAATACTTTCATCTATATATATAAATATCTTATCTTGTTTAGAAATATAGACGTTTTGCATTAAAAGTTCAATACAACATTTTATTTTTTTGTTTTTCAAATTTTATTAAATTTTTTTTGGAAAAAATCAAAACAGTAAATTTGTAAATAACATTTCAAACAAATTTTTATGGTAAATATGATAATTTAAGTCAATTGTTTAATTTTTACAATTTTTTTCAAAATATTCTTGTTTTTCTTTTACTTGATATGAGTATATTTCTTAAATTATTTATTATACATACATTTTTCATAATTATATTTTTATATTATGTTATTGTTATCATTTTTTTGTATTTATTTGAAAGGTCTTTCTGTTACACTGTGTACATAAAAAAAAATCAACTAAAGCAATTCCTATGCAACTGATTTTCTAATAACAACTAAAAATAATAAGTTTCTAAAATATACTTTAGTGTGATTTGTTATACTATTCATTAACATCTGACCAATTTCGATTAAAAAAAATGTTTAAAATCATAAAAAAAATAATTTTTTTTTGTAAATGTTTATACAATTTGTATAAATTTATTTTCTTTAAATGTTTGATAGGTAAAAAATTGACCTACTGTCAAGACGAAATATCAAGTAATAGAAATGTTGGTACGTCAAACGACGAATTCGAACTCATTAATCAGAACGATAATTCAATAGTGACAGTATCTGTCAAAGATACAAATAAAGGTAAAACCAAAAGTTATTACGAAAATCAACGTAGAGCACAGAAAGTAATTTTAAAAAACCTTCAAATATATACCATACTGGGTTTATTATATCTATTTTAGTTTTTACTATACTTGTTGTAGATTTCAAATGAAAGGAGGTCGAAAAAAAGAACCAACACAATTCCAAACGATGAGTTGATCGTGCAATCAGAAAATATCGATAGTATTCTTGAAAAAAGTGTTTTTGTTAGTAATGTATTAAAAATGTAATATGAAATCGATAAAAAAAATATTGAACTAAAATAATTTTTTCCGATGCAACTTTGATTGTTACCATAATTGATCTGATTCGATATCAAAGCACACTGGTTTGAAATTATAAAATTAATTATGTGATAACTTTTTCCTTTTTGTATAGGATTTGGAACCAGAGGATTGGGATATCTTGTATACCGAAATGGCGAAATACATTAAATCCGAGCCCGAATACACTGATGAAGTTATTGTTAATCAAAATGTAACAAAAATTCTGTGTTAAAAAGGTGTAAAAAATAAATTATGAAAAACATTAATGTTAAACAACTGATATATGATAATAATTTTTTTGTGTATAAAATAAATGTTACTTATATGTATATGGATTGAACTGTATATACTGTATATACTGTATACTGTATTTATTTGACAATATAATACTTCAAAGGACCCAGGTACAACAATTATTTTTGTATTATTTTCAGGAAATGAAGATACGTAATACTAAATTATATGATGTACATCGTTACCTATATAGTTTAAAAATTAGTTTTAACCATTTCCTCGCCCTCAAAAACAAATTGGGTCCGCTCTTTGCAGGTATATCAGCTACCACCTGATATAAAAAACGTCGATAGTGTAGCAGGTTTTTTTTATGTTGTAATAAAATAATACCACAATAGTATTTTACATTACACTGCCGTCATACAAAATATCAAGTAAATACAGCAGTGGTTAAAATCAGTATTTTATTAAATTAAGAATTTATACCAGACATAAGAGGGTAAAAATCAGTTAGTACATCCAAATATCCAATAGCTATATTGCTAATATAGTTAAGTCAAATATTCCTGTAAGTGTATAACACATTTTATCAACAACAATTGTTTCATTAAAAAACCTTTTAAAGTTCAAGGTTAGGTTAGGTTGTAATCTTTTTATTTTTTTGGAAACTACTTAAAGTTTGTAATTATTTTATATTATCTATGATAAATATGGTAAATATCATATTACTATAACATGCCTGTATTTTTTTTAAGGAAATAATTATTGATGTCGGTATATTGGTACGATTATTATACATAATTGTACAGTATATGCACTGAACTAAAGTGTACAGACAGTATATTATACATTATTATTGTAAAAAGTGAAACTTGAGTAAAAAAATATTTGTTTTTTTTTTGTATCATTTTGTATATTTAAAAATATGTGAATATATATGAGGGTGTGTAACGATAACATTTTAGGTGTAGTTATAAAATACATGAATACATTTTCGGCCTGGAACCCCGAAGACCCGTGGATCAGTTTTTAAGGTGCCCTTTAAAAAAGGATGATGGGCCCCTACAGTAACTGGTTACAACTTAGTTACATTAAAACTTTAAGTTACAAGTTATAAAATTATTTATGTTTATTTCTTCAAGAAAATAATGACTCCGAATAATTTTTTTTATGAGATGTTCACGAAAAAAAGTTATTATGTAAGTTTAAGTTATATCTGAAATTTAAAAGTATCAACAGTATTTATTAGAACCTTGATTACAAAATATTACAAAATATAATAATGTAATATAATATAGTAATATATATAGTTAGAGCATAATGTCACATAAATAATACAAATATTGAAACATCAAATGATAATAATGTACTATAAATTATTATGTTGACACGAAATATAGATAACACACTGACGCGCGGACAGAAGGTACACACTTAGATAATTATTATGTACTACATCCTTTATACTATAAAATAAAATAATACATTTACCATTTATAACACAAATACTGATATCGTATAATTATGACCTATTTAAATTTAAAATTTGTAATTTGGATACATGTATATTTATTTAAGCTATAAAAAGAAATTATAATCAGTAACATTTTAAAATTAGATAACTTATTGCAATTTTGTACTTACGAATGTAACTCGGTTACGTATCTTTAATACATGTAATATGTAACTGATTACTACGCAACCCGGAGTACATACAATAGAATACTTATTTAGATATATAGGCCTGTGATCGGTAATATTATCATATACAGATAAAAAATAGTGATCATTGGCACAACCGTAGAAGGTCAAAAGTTCAATAGCCCCGAAATCTTATTTAGTTTAAATACAATTCATTGAAACTGTTATAAATAATTTTATCCACCAAATTAATTACCTAATTAGAATTCAAACAGTAACACAAAATAAAAAGAGGCCTCTTACAAAATAGTGATTTTATATTTTGGATACTATACCTCAGAAAATATATACGGAACAACTGTAGTTCCGTAGTGTTGTGTTTGTTGACATGTTTATCCATGCAAATAGATCAATTATTATATTTCAAAAAATATACACAAGGTTTAATATACATAACGTAATGATACAAAATTAGATGGCATATTTTAAAATAAAATATAAAGGTTTCATAACTTCACTCTTAAACATAATTGTCTTATTTAAAAATTTGACAATAGCGGTAAATATTTTATAGTTAGCTACATGCTACCGAAACAATAATTAATACTAACATTGCGTTATGAGCATTTTGCCAATATGTAATGCATTATACAAGATATATTAACTAGCTTAGAAACAATATTATTTTTGAACTTGTAATTAAACTTTAAATAATATGTTATATGTTGTATACATAATATGTTATTATTTTTATTTTCTATTAATAATACTATAGGAAACAATATAAATAAAAGATCATTATTTTACTTTAGACTTTTTACTTTTTTCATTAGACAGACATATTAATAGGTATGCATTTTAATATACCTTAATGTCAATAAGTGATAACACCGCACCGATCCATTGAACACAGAACAATCGACTTGACGCTCAAGACAGTTGGCCATTTGCCCCTCTATCAGACCTCTATCATACACATTAATTAGGTCACGTAATTTTTTGACACAATGACATTACCGATCTAGCTGCACATACTACACACATACCTCGATGTAATTTAAGGGGATTCGATACCGACCATTTTTTTAGACTAAAACATCCAATCTTTTGTCCATCCCTAATAATGCGATAAGACTTTTAAAAACTGATTTGAATTCGTTATTATGTCTTCTTTAGATCGGCCACGTCACTTTTTTAAATTTCGGCCCCTAATCTTTATAATATGGATTTAGAAATTGTGAAACTTAAAAAAATGTAAGTTTACATTACTCTGAATTAAAATTGTAAATTCAAAATAGTGGCTAGGCCTATTTCAAGAAGACATAATAACGAATTCAAATCAGTTTTTAAAAGTCTTATCGTATCATTAGGTCCATCGGAATGATGGACAAAATATTGGATGTTTTAGTCGAAAAAACGGTCTATTTAATTTGCTCGCGCGCGCGACGTTGTACACGTTGACATGTGTATGAGCGTGCGTGAGTCATAATAGAAATAGTGGTGGTGAGGGAGTCACTCACACTAATAATCAGTTACTACACACACGTAACCATGTCTTGCACGCACGTACTATATAAATTGCCTATATTCAACTCCTTAAAACAGATCGGTATCGAATCCCCTTAAGAAGACGCAACACAATTACTATTTTAGGGGCTTAGTATAGGCAATGTTAATGATATTAAACAATATAAATGTTTAATCTTAAATAATATATTTAAAATTTAAATACAAATTCAAACTTCAAAGTATTTTAAAAGTGGCCCCATGTCAGTACCAACAACAATTGTTGTAAATAAAAGTATACAGAAAACAGAAAAATATCACGACTAATTTGTTTTAAAAATGACTTACTTTGAAATTTAATTTATCACAATATTATTATTAGTTACAATAGTTTGAATAAATTATCACAATAATAGTTAATAAAAACAATAAGTGTTTAACACTTAAACAGTTTAAACAGTGTGAAAGTACAAACATCGTGCAAGTTATAAAATGTTTGAGTGATTGTAAAAAAATTTATTGTATATTATTTAATTGATGTATACATAATATATTTTTGTAATCTATTATTATTGATACTCATATGACAATACAATTTAACATAATTAATTAGTTCTTAACACAATACATTTAAATTCGAGTACATCGGTACTTACAATATATTTTAATTCAGTATGAACTATGATTAAGGTACAAAGTGAATTGTTAAATCAATAAATGTATAAATAGCCAGTATATTAAGTCGAGCTTATGGAAAAACCTACATTTCTGCAAAAACAAAACTTGTTAATAACAATGTTAATGTTAAATAACAGATAATCACAAATATCTTGTAAAATAATAAAGATTGTATAATAAGTAATAGGTATAGTATCTTATAAAAATTAAAACCCTTTTATTTGTATACTTTAACCCAAAATGCACACAATAAAGTAAATGAATGAATAATATTTTCTTAGAATTTATCAAAATTATAATACGTGTACTTGAGTATAATGACTTAAGACTTTATTAACATCTTTCGTCAATAACATTATTTCTGGATTATTAAGTACATAAATAACCTTTAAAGAACGACATTTATCATAACTATTTTAAAGTACTTATTAGTTGTACGAAAATTCAAGATAACATTTAAAGGGCTAATTTTTGTATACATTAATAGTTTAAAAAAAATTAAGACAGGATTTCATAACCGTATAATACGTATAAAAGTACAGGAGTGGATCCAGAAATTTATCAGGGGGGAGGGGGGTAATTGAAATGTACCCAACAGATACTATTCATATTTAATAACATGCTTTTCAATATCACCATTCTTTTTCTCAACCCCCTCCCCTCTTTGGCACGCCACTGTAAGAGTATAATGTGTATATAATAATTATTAATTTAGTACAATAGTTTATTATAGTTGAACAATATCGGCAAGAGTACGAGCCATTGGAAACCTGTGATTTTTTTTCAAATATTTTATAGTTATCAGTTTTTGAAATGTATGATGGTTTCACGTATATCTTCAATAATTTTAATCCTTGATGAAATCAAACTATATATTGTTGTTAAGCTGAAGCCGATCAGACCACCAATGCCACAACTTCTGAGACCACCTGAAATATTTTCAGTTTGTTTTAATTTAATAATTCTAAAATGTATATTGAAATTGAAATTTATTTATTATAATTTATACTCAGGCACATAAAGATTATATTATTAGGCCGAATAAGGATACGTGACGTTTTAGAACAATGTATAATATCATAAGTAAAGTAAAAAAAAATATTCAATCAATCATTAAAAATATTAGTAATAAGAATTAAAAAAACTAAAATAAAATATCAAAAACTTTATTTATAATGAGTTTGTATATAAAAAAATCAAAATGTTATGAACTTATAAATATATATCATAATTGATTTTATAATTTGTATGGATCAACTATAGAACTAAACATAATTTTTACATAAAATAACTCAATCAATTTCACTTAGGTAATATTAAATTATTAATTTTTAACATTTTACTTTAAATACATTAATACTGATCTTATTGGGAGTATTATAATTTTCAATAAATAATTTTTTTGATATGGTATTTTAATTTTTAATCAGTAGGTACTCTTGTTTTTTATATTGATCGATTTATTATTATTTTTTTACTTCCAATTGTCCACACGTCTAAACAGCTTCTAGATTATTAGAAGTAGATGCTTAATTAAAAAAAAAACAATAGAAGGTAGAAATTGGATGCTAGGTAATTGTTTCGCATCACTTATATACATTTGAAAACAATGACACATAATTGTAAGAAAAAGGTATCATAAGAATACATTACTTCAGTTACGGTGGTGTTTATAGGTACCTATGTAATTTTCACAGCTCTTGTTTTATACCTTTTTTCATTATAAAAACATTAAAAATATTATATCGCCCGATTTTCAATAGATTTAGCCATTTAGGCTTTATGAAAAATGTCTTATATGATTAAGTTACATACAATGTATTTAACCTTAAAGTATATAAAAGTTATGTTGTGGCGTTGTCGGTGTCTGTTGTGTGCACGATTTGAGTGTGTACACTGGTCGGCGTTGCTAGCCCCGGATGGGTGACCCCCCGAGATTTTTAGTAATAATATCTTTGCAATACAAGGTTAGGTTAGCACAATACGTGTTTCAAACCAATCATTTCCCACTACAAACAGCTAATGGCTATAGTTGCCGGGCTTTAAAACAATAAAAAAGGAAAAGTTATGTCCAAACTAAAAATTAAATCTATACTTACCAATTCATTCATAATAATAAACTTAAATGAACAGCATTAGAATAACAAAACTAATTAATTAAAAACTCACTTGTAGACCTATATAAAAGTCCTGTGCTTGTTCCAGCAATAATATTATTATAGATATCATCTTGTTGGCCTCGAGCATTTTCTAGTATTATCCCAAAAATACTATAGTATACCATTATCGTTCCATATTTATTTGACATACTAGATCCATGTTTTAAAACGCTATTCAACAATCTAAAAATCACATTTTATTACTTTATAATGAATACAAAAATAATGTTCATAATTAAAGTTTATAAGACGTATACCAACAAAATAACAATAATAAAATGTCTCACTGTGTTCTGTTATATGTGCGAGTTTGTTTATCGCGCAATACGATTTTCATGCCATTATGTGCTCCACGTATAACACCGATTGCAGAGCCCACCGAATACCATGTACCGATTTCAATGAAACACATTTCAAAACGTCCCCGTTTCTTAGAGCCAACACCTTCTAGAAATATATACTCTGGTTGAGAAGGCTGAATTCGTGGGTCATATTTTAAATATGGAGATGGAACCAATAATACTCCTTTTTCATTATCTGCAATGACAGAAGTGTTTAAGATTAAGTAGTTTAATTTATAAGTTTAAGATAATTTTAGGTTCATTGCTATATATACATAAATTGTGGGGTTACAGATATTACAGGTACGAAAAGCGTACTAAACTAAGTATAACTAACCTTTATCGTCGTCTTTTAAATCTAACATGTTGTTGGTAGTCGTCCTAAGAACAGTAATGAGAACAAAATAAACAAAATCACAAACAACCGTTTTAAGTTGTGACTTTTATAGTGTTTCGTACACATATAAGTAGTATAAATTGAGAGTGCGGTGACTGTAACAAAGATAAGGATAGTATCTCGATTGAGTGCTAATCTATCCAGAAATGCTTAGTTGATTACACCGTGCACTACCAACAGCATCCTACGAAAACTACGGTACACACACTGGCTTACTCGGGTACAAAGATCGATCGTTCTCGCCACCACCACCGACTAGCATATTTCCACCCGTTGCGCCTACCGAGGGGTTCACATTCTTGAATATTGGTATGCAAGGCAGTGGCGCCATCTACGTGAGTACTGAGTTTGATCACGTCCTCGAATGCATCCAACTCCGAGGGTGGAATATCGATGTATCTTTAATTTTCCAGAACCGAATTTCTGTTGAAAAGTATGCTAAGTATAGATTTTTTTATTTCGATTTGTTTAGTTGAGAAATGTTTTATCCATCTGAAATTTGTTCACGAATTTTTGAACACTGATAACTCTGCCCGTCAGTAAAACAGCTGGTTAACGGTGGGATGCAAATGGTGATGATATCAAGGGACAATTGCAGCATCTCGTCCCCCGCACCGACCCTATCGATTGTTAGCAGCTCACGCTTTGTGGTAATCGTAATCATATACACAAGGTGGATATATACGGTGGACCGGCTAACATCCTCCCACCTTGTTCGAGGGGTATTTACTACAGATGATAATCTCGGCAGAGTGCGCTGTTTGCAATTGTTGTCCTGTTTTCAGCAGCTAACCTGGCAGCGGATCGTGGATCCATTAATTTTGCACTTTGTAGTTACTAGTTACCTTGCAAGACCGGCGATCTACGTAATAATTAAAAATATTATAACTTGTAATACTGACAATTGTCAATTTGTAATGAGTATTATTATTAACGGCTATCGACGTCTATTAATATGTTTATGAAATTAGTAAAAACAACAAATGTTTTGTTCCGGGTTGTGATGTTGGGAATAAAAAAACATAAGAAGGAACATACAGCTTATACCTACTTTGCATATACATATTATAAAGAAATTTACTGATAATGCCCTATACCTAGTTATTACTTAAAAAAGACTATAGACTGTTAGAAAGATATCATATATATATAATATATAAATATATGAATATGAAAGAAATAGAGTATAGTTTAAGAAAGTTTTCAAAGAAAAAAGTATATATATCATGGAAAAATGAGTAAATTTTGTGTGTGGTGATCAATGGGAAAATGATTTGTTCTTCTATGATATCTCTTCTTTTATGCTGTATCTCCTCTAAACAATATTGGATTCAGTACCTCTCTTTCCACTTGCAGGCCATTTTTTTATAGGTCAATGGTGGTAATATACAGACGAAGACGTTAAATTTTGTACGATACTTGTATCGGTGGCTTAGTTTGAGTACTGACATTTTGTAGAAGAAGAAATGGGAATGCTGTAGTGCTAGCTAGGTAACTTGTTTTATCCTGGCGCTTAATTCCCATAGCCCATGCTTATATTTAAACTTTTATCCATGGTTCTATGTATAAACGTTTATAGATTTATGCAAATTTCTATAACAAAATTATAATAAATTATAATAATTCACCACCAAGTTCGGGATGATCGGTCAATTTCTTTTTTCACACAAAATCCGTACAAAAACCGGACCGGAGCCCCACACCCGCCAATCCCGTTGTTTCCAGTACAAATTATCTTAGATTATGATCTTATCAAATAGAATTTCTAGAATATTATTGTAAACTTAGATTATATAGCATGTAGTCTATGTATGATCTAAGATTGTGAATGGCAATATTACAATGTATAATATAGAAAGTTCCAACCCCCTAATAATTATTTAAACAATGAAATACCGTGGTTACTTACAACTGTACAAGACTATAAATATTGAGTACTTATTATATAAAAATGTAAAACCATAAACAAACATAAATATATAATTTATATTCACAATATTTAATATGCATACTAGGCGATACACCTAATGAGATGTGTAGTTATTAGTATACTTTACGGTGTAACTGCTTTTGCTTTTATACAAAATATTTTCAATCTAGTTAAATATTTTCCACAAACCCAACCATACATTTAAATAACTACACAGGTGTATTTAAACAATACATATTTACAAATAATCTTAGAATTCATATCGTTGATTCTCCCTGTGAAACTTTATATATTTATCTAATTTATTGTGAACTCATTTAGAGCTTGACATATTTTTTACAACTTAACACCTCTATAGCTGTATATTAACAGTCATCTTAATAAAATATTGGTTGAGCTTGATACTTATTCAAAATATTATCACACATTCGATTGGTTGTACATGTCAGATAGTCAAATATTTGTTGAATTTAGATACAAATAACTTTTTTTTTATTACCTTCTTGTAAATATGAAAACTAAGTTTAAGATTTCTTAAACTTTATTTTTTTTTTGGGGGGCATGATTGAGCGTTATACAATGTACAAGTTACAAATTATATCAATCAACTTTTATATTTATTTAATACACAATTACCGATAATTTCATAAGAACTTAATAGAAATCGTACAATTAACCAATAATAAATCAACAAATTACTAAATTAAATAGCGATAATATGGTGTACATGACTCTTGCGATCATATTGTGTAGCAGAACATAGTTATACAAAATAAGAGAAGTTACAGTAAGATAATTTGTTAAAAATGAGGAGTAGACAACAAGTGTCAACAGCCAACAAATTAATGTTTCTATTGTTTGTAATTTGTATTTTGTACTGTTTATGATTTTAATCTAAAATTTAAATTTAAGAAGGAAGTTATCGCATTGGTCAAATAGTATCATCATATCACATAATTGACGACGTAGCAAAGTATAAATAAGAAATAGCTGAAGCTTTGAAGACAATATTTCATAATTTCAATGAATGATAATGGAACATTGCCACTACTAACAGAAAACGATAGAACCGGCATCTATCAAAATACCATTGATCATCGAAAAATATTTCAGTTGAAGTTGAATGCTTGAAATTCAAGATTATCACTTTTTAGTTTTTTTTTTGTTATACCATGATAATGATGATTGTAAAAATTAAATAATCTTTTATGTAAATATGAATAAATTTGTTTAAATGTTGTAAATGCTAATTACTACTAAATTAATACGTATACTAGTAGTATATGCTTAAAATCTGCCTATAAATAATACTTTAAAATATTATGTTTAGTCAAATAACATATAGAAAAAACGTTTATAACATCCTGCCGAGCCTCCAGGATAATATAAGCAAAACGATCAGCTGTTCGACCACAGTCTGTACTCTATAATATAGCATAAAGAATAATAATTATTCAGAATAATTATTATTATTCTTTACACACCGGTTGAGACGTCGCGTGCACTATGTCTTCTGCCTATTATGCTGTGATCAGTGTCGTTCGTCTGAGTGCGCAGTAAATACGTACCTAACCAGTCAATAAGTTCTTTAATGGACTTCAATTTTTTGTTCGAGGTATGTTGTTTTATATTTTGTTTCTTTGGTAAGACATAGAATAGCCAATAGGTACTTAGGATATTCAATCACGATAGTAGGGTATATTACAGTACGTTTTAAATACAACTTTTTATTTATTTATTTGTGGTTGTAACTTGTAAGAGATCCCTACCTATTTCTTTCTTCCTTTTTTTAAATTGTTTTTTTCTATTCTTAAATCCTTTAGGCTAGTATTAAAAATATTTAATTAGGTATATGTAATGTGTTATATCTTGCTAAAATGTTATTATATTAAATACCTAAAGGCTTATTAAAAATAAATATATATTAATTTAATGTTTTCAATTAATAAAAGTTTTTTCTATTTACAATGTCGTTTTACCAGATAGTTAGTAGTCTACTTAATTATATATTTTTTTAAATAATTACAAATATTTAATTTTTGTAAGTAGATATTCAATATAATTATATAAATACTTGTAACATAATTATTATTGCTGGGAGTGTCTACACATTATTTAAGACCAAGGATCAAGCATTGAATAATAATTAATAGGAGTAGGAACTAAAAAGTTCAAGTTTTTCATGAATAATTTTCATATCTGAATGAGTTTTTTAATTTATTATACCTACTGGAGGTTGGTCAACAATTATTATTCAGCTATCAAATCAATGCAATTCAAAATATCTACCCATGTATGTAGTTATGTACTAATTGAAAAAAATCAAATTACATAATTTTAGATTTCACTTTAATATTTGCACGAATGTCAGAAACTGTAGATGTTATACTAAGTCATAATAATTAGTTCGTAATTTCAAATAGGTGTATTATTTTTGTTTGAAACCTTAAATCAATCTTAACTTTTTGTTTCATTTTTTAAAACGTAAATAAGTATATTTTTGGCTTAGTTTAGGCATTATAAAATTAGAAATTTATTTATTAATATGCAATCGGAACAGGGAATAGCTGCATAATTGAGTATTTAAAATAGATGTACAACAAATAACTTAGTAAATCAAGATTACATTTATATGTAGATACCGTTTAACACAAGTTATACAACAATAGAAAAAGAATAATATATCAATCTAGTACCTATATTTATAACCTATGCTTTTTATTCATTTACAAATGATTTTTTTCATAATAATATATTACCTATAAAATGTAGAAATATTCAAATAGACTTAGTAAAGTTAATTGTTAGTTCATTAAACACAATTGAACAGACATTGCTAGTAAAAGCACTTTACTTTACGTAATTAATATTTTAATTTATTTGTTTATATTTACCAACAGGTTATACATTATTATGAAGTTGATTTCTAAGTCACTGAATACATTACCCTTACGCAGATTGTTATCAACTGTACCCAAACCATTAAATATTGTACAAGAAGCTGCTCTCGAAGAACGCTGTATTCTTGTTGATCAACACGATCAAGAGTGCGGCTTTGCCAGTAAACGAGACTGTCATAGACTTGTAAATGGTAACCTTCCGTTACATCGTGCGTTTAGTGTCTTTTTGTTCAATACCAAGGATGAACTACTATTACAACAGCGTTCATCGACCAAGATCACATTCCCCGATCATTATACAAATGCTTGTTGCAGTCATCCGCTATACGAGATTGAACATGAGCGCAAAGACTTAGAAGGTGCTAAAGCTGCTGCTTGTCGCAGGCTTGTGTTTGAATTAGGAATTCCTTCCAGCCAGTGTCAACCTAATGACTTGCAGTATATAACCAGAATAAGGTAATGACAGCTTATCGATACATTCAAAAATTTGCATTTGATTTGATGTATTTTTTTAGGTACATGTCCAAAGGAGATGGAACCTGGGGTGAACACGAAATTGATTATATATTTATTTTGCACAAAGATGTTTCTTTGGACCCCAATCCAGATGAAGTGACAACTGCCCTGTATATCCCCAAATCAAAAATGAATAAATTCTTACAGAATTTAAATCATCCAATTACACCATGGTTTAATCTAATTGCACAAAACGAATTGACAGATTGGTGGAACAATTTAAAATCTCTGGAGAAAGTCATGAATCATAAAAAAATTATTACTTATTAAACATTTTTCGACTGTTGGAAATATTTATTAAGATTGGGACTATATAAACATTTTTACTGTTTATAATATGAAAAGGTGGGAAAAATTAAAAGTAGAATAGATTTGCCGATCCTGGCACCGCTTCTTTCGCATCTCCGCCTCTCCGCCTTTCCGCCTCACCGCCTCACCGCCTCACCGCCTCTTTCACCACGCACGTACCCCCGGCGGTGTACGTGCTTGGTGAAAGAGACGGTGAGGCGGAGAGGCAGTTCCAGGATCGGCATATCTATTCTACTATTAAGGAAAATAATTAATTCGAGTTAAATTATGTTAAGAGAATACAAGATTGATACGTTAGAAGTTAACAGTTAACAAATCACAAATTTAACTTTATAAGTTAAAAGTATAGAAAAAAGTAAAGTTAATGACTTATCCCAGTTTAATATAAATATTTACGTACAAAATCATAAAAACGAAAAAATTTCAAATTTATTTTAACTTCATGCATTATTTCTAAATCAACTGAAAAAATCTAAGTTATTTCAACTGCCAATTAAACTAGTTATGTTCATAAATTGATTGTCACTGTTGTTCACACATGTTAGAATATCCACAAACTGTATCACATCATTTTAGTTCACAGTTCAAAATATTTTGACATACCATCAAAAAACATTATATAACCTACCTATCTATATTATATTATTATGATTTGTTCTGAAATTATTATTTTTATTTTTAAATTTCATACGGCTTTTTGGCACATACGCATGACTTAATATTATTTGATGAGGATGATTGTTATAAAAATTATGATTTTATATTATATCAATTTTAGGTCAGTAATTCTTTATTTTTACTAACATTTTATTTATAAGTTTTACATATTTTTCGGTTTATTAAGCGTAACTATGATTTAATGAAGACGTAATTGTTATTATTAAAATTATGGCTTTTTAAAAAAATAATATTTTACATTAATTGTACACTATTACTTGATTTTCTTCACATACAGAGTTTACATAGACCCATTCAAAAATGTGTATTATTTATTTTTGTAATTTATTATAGAATGATGTTAATTTAAATAAAAATAAGTATTTATATTAAGTGTAAAAGCAAAAATAATGTTTTACACATTTTAAATTCATACCTTCATAATTTAAGGTATTTATAGATACACTTTGATTATAAGTAATATATATTAGCCATTAGTTATAACTACAGATAAACATAATATTTCTGAGATAATTCATAAGTTCATAAGTTATAATTACAATAATTCGAGTAAGTCAACAATTAGATGTTTATAGTTTTAGTTATAAGTTATAATCAAAACCATTTAATATTTCTTTTGCACATAAAAAAAAAAAAAATTGAAATGAATGCCTTTAATAATATTAAATTATTAACCCTCTTCCCGTTGGATAATGTCATTGTTGACGAGTGTATATTATATCATTGATGTATCTACTTATTAATATTATTATTACTTTTATCTGTATTGTTATATATTATCTTATCCTCGCCGATATCTGTTCGAATGACATTCAATCATGTTCTTATATTAGTGTGTGTTTACCGTGTCTCTATGTACATATGCGTGTCACCGTGTCCGTCTCCGCATTATAAAATAAATTATGTAGTTATACAAAAAAGGTTAAATCTTAATATATTAATAAAAAAACTCATATACCTATACAGTCCACTAAAAACCGAAGGCAACAGTCATATTATTTTTGGTATTGTCCGAGTTGCGGTCGCAATAGACGAATTGCGGTCTTAATAATATTGAAGCTAAAATTAACGTCTTAATTGCGGTCAGTATTCGGTTATTGATTATCCGATGCTCTTATCCAACTTTCACGTCAATAATTTCATGATCCAACGGTGAAGCAGTATTTAGTACCCATATCAGTATTCTTTTATTTTTAGATTCTGAGCTTAGAAAATGCATGCATTGTATTAACAATGATGTAGGTTAATCGAGTAATATATCGTAATAATAAACTTTAAAATGTATCAACTTCTAAGTTTTATTAATGGAATTTAAAAAATATTAAATATACCTACATTATTTTTTATATGCATTCAAAGTTCAATCTTTTTCAAAATTCATCAAAATCTCAAACATTTTCAAATTATTTTTCAGTTAGAAATTCATACAAGTTTTTTGTATAGATATCTAATATTAAACATTTTATTAGAATATTCCTCATAAATTGTTCTACCTTTAAAAAAAACACTAAAATGGAATGTTATGCTATTTAACAGCCATATGGCATTTTAAATTTTTACTAATTTTTTTAAAAATTAAATAAGATTATTCAATGAGTATGCCAAGACACCACAACGTCTCCTCTCAACATTGTTTTTCGTATGCAATGGTTTATCATTGAATTCAAATAAAACACACCCATTGCTACGACATACTCGACAAGTACTATACAGCAGCATTGTACAGAAAAACAGTAATTTAATACATGTTTTTGGTAGAATTCACTAAATTCTTATAATATTATCATAACGGTCTGAGACAGTCGAACACTGTTACTCAGTTATCTACGACGGAAGTCATGAATCAAGTATTTTTTGAACTTCGTTCCGGCAAAGTTTGATATTCCAGCTCAAATTCTGTTGGGAAAATCGGAACATCGCCGGTCCGGTGATTATGGGCGATACCAATCGATGCCAAAACGCTTTGGCCGAATTTTCGGAGATGAAAACAAAATGTTTTATAATTATTTGTAATTTTCAATTCTCAAATAGTTTTAACTATTTTCAAATTTTCAAATAACCTAACCTATCATTGACACCTAAGACTTAACAGCGTCAAGAAAGCGCATATACCTACTAAAGAATATTTTTACCAACAACACCTCTGTAGTTACTGGTTAACGTGTCACAATCTCTCTGTAATACAATTTTTTTATTTTATTTACAATGGCAATAACATTCCACTTAACACAAAAAAAAATATATTTCTAATAATTATTCACAAAACATTCTGACAGACTTAAATTACCCAATTGATTCGAGACAATTTGATCACAATTCTTTAACAATTTCATTCCATCCCGTATTACAGATAAATGTTTTAAATAAATAGTATAGTGATGATAAGGCATAGAGTGATGTATAAGCATAATAGTTACAGTAAGAGAGTCTTATTAATTATTAAGGCTCTCTAGTTGCAGTTTCTTAACAGCTGTGAAAATACAGTGTTATGGGCTTTGAGTAATAAAACTAGTGACATAGGTGTATCACATCCAATTTTTGTGACATTTTTAAGTGTTTATTAGTAAGATAGAATAATAAATAATATGTTATAATAGTAAATTACAATAAATAATAAATATAAATTTATTTTTAGTTACAATTTAACTGGTTCAGACTATACGTGGAGCTCTGCATAATACTATTTATTATATTTGTGTTTAAGCTAAATATAATAATTCAACCAAATTCCTTTAAATTATTTTTTTTTTTAAATAAATAATATATAATATTGAATTATTAACAATAATCTTAAAAAAAAAACATGAACTAGAATTTAAAAAAGGTGGGTAAGTGAGTATCGCTTTGCTATACAGTAGATGTCTAGAGAGATTATTATAATGGATGTGTTCTATACTTAAATTTGAATTCAAAGATAAAATATAATGAACTCATTGTACGAGTATACCTACGAAAAATGATTTTGGGGCGAAGACGGTCTTTAATCAGCGTACATAACTATTATAATATTTATATATTGTTTATTGCTATTAGATAAAGTACTTAATTTTACTATTTAGACATTATTTGGTAATAAAGTAAGTTGAATTAATTTTTTTTTTTAATTGCACTTGAAAATGTCGTTGTGTGTTTAAAATATAATAATTTATTATAGATATTATTATTAAAAAAATACTCTAAAAGTTTCAAGTATACCCACGGGCCACGAATAATATTTTTAATCACAATAAAATAACTAATTTCGTCCAAATATGAAAAAAAAATATCTATAAAATCATAGATTTTTCGGTTACAGTATGAACTATTTGTGAACCTTATTTTAAATGTTCAAACCTTATAATTCAAACCTAAAATTTGAATACTTTATACATTTTAACTACAAAATAATATTTACAAATTGTAGTCAATTTGACGAGTTTTCAAAATTTCAACTTCAAACGCTTAAAAAAAAATCTTGCCAACAGCTATCGTTCATTTTATGAGGTAGGTACTTTGTGTTACATTTCAAGCATTTTAACTTAAAAACAAATTTTTCGTTTGAACTCCTTGCTTTCAGTTTCGATCTCATTATACTTTCTCTATAACATATCACTTTGAATGACAAACTGCTCTCGTAATTAGCCAATTTATAGAATGATGTGTATTACCAACTAGAATTTAGCTTTTATTTATTAATTATTTTTCTGATACATTTGTTTTATATACCTATTCTGTTATATTAGTACTTTTATGTATATTTATTTATATTATATTTATAAATTGTTATCAGTACGTTTAGTCGTACGGGGTCATCTTAAACTACCTATATTAAACCTTAATCTTTTATTTAATTTCAAAGCTTTTTGACTTAGTAAAAAATTATTTATTTTTTAATTTTTAATTTATTATATTTATTTTCTCTAACAACAGCTTTTTAGAAAACTTGTATTACATTTTCAAGTTAAATTATAGTTTTTTAACAGAGCAAAAATTGTTTAATCAACAGTAATTTTAAATAATCTAATAAATACCCAAACACACAAGCCCAGATCATTGTAAAATCATAACATCCATCGCTCTGATCGGAATCTAAAACATTTATATTAGTTTCAACTAAATACATATCATTTATGACCTGCATAATAAAAGTAAAGTAGATATTGTAAGTGGGTATGACCTAAAACTAAAGACACACGGAGGCATGGTTAACTCTTCACCTTCTATTCTATTGATACTCATGTAATTGGGGCGTTTGGTTCGTGGTACCACACAAAGAATAAAGTGCGTAACCAAAATGTTCCCTTATGGCTTATATATTTTCATAACTACACTACATTCGATTTAATAACAGTAGGATTAAAATGGTTATAAAGTAGTAGAATAAAATGTATGATAAAATAATATACTCAATAGTAAATATGAATAAATTAAAAATATCCAATGAAACCTACATTTATTTAATCTCTTGTTATGTAGGTTAGGTTGTAAGTACCTATTAATTGCAATATATTTAATTAGTCCTCAATTACAATCTTTTTTTAACATTTTATTTGCTAAGCCTACCTAAAAGAATTAGTTTTTTTTCAATTAGATGCGGCGTGATGATGATGCTTGGATATTTATGTTTGAGGCAGCTTTGAGTACCTTGGACATTACTCTTCGTGAGGACCTTGCCAAATAATTATTCTACATAATGTATAGTGTATACGATTTATCGGCAAATCAGTATATCACTACAACCAAAAAAAAAAAAAATATAAAAAAAAATATGACAGGAAGATTCTCAATATCTGATAACGATATTTCCACGTGTGTGTCATCATAGACCATTGGTATGGACAAATTACGACAAATTTAATAACTTTTAAATTCCATTTACTTCTAAAATTTGGCTGGAAAATTATTCTTTATAATACATTGGTCTTTGGTCCCAAATGAAAAAATTGTGTTTCATAATTAATTAAAACTCGTTGTCTACGGTTTACTGTAGTTGGTAGTTGGTACCAAATCATCGTGCAATATGACAGTTGTACATAGGTACTACATAACAGTAGTTAAGCTGCATAAACGTGTAATGCATCATAGTGGGCTTACTTTAAGTCTATTGTCTATATGAGTAAATGACCTTTACCTTAAATAGATAGGTACCACACTACCACTGTACGGCTGTCAGCGTTAAAACCATTTTTCATGTAGACCTGCATTCGTGGAATTGTGGGAAGTATTTTTAATTTTGTTCAAAAAATCTTTAGTCAACCACATCAGAGGCTGCTCAAAAATTATTTTAAAAGTGCGGCCCTGTTGGTCACAGGGTCCGTTATCATTCCTATAGATCTTTGGCAGTTCAATGCATTAACGTTAACTTTGGTCACAGTTGTGAAAAAAAACAATTAATAATTATGTCAACTGATAAGGTATAATAAAATAATTTTAGAATTGTTTAGGCATTTCAATGTATTGAGGACATTTACAATAAAATTAGTAAGAATGATGCTTATAAAGTTTGTCTTTGAGGCAAGTGCATTATAGTAGTTAGTTTTCATCAAAACGTCCTTATAATTTTGATTTTGATTTTTTAATTAAGTATCAATATTAATACATATTACTATAATAACTTTTTTTTAAATTACCAACTAATATTGTTTGACCTGTCATTATTAATCATTTGACAATCAGATTCATGTGGTTTGATGGCAGAAATATCTTCGTTTTTATAATTTTGGTTTTTTTTAAACATATTACGATATATTATAGTAGACTTATATTTCACACTACAATACTAATTTTATAGTATAGAATCTGTATACCTAGTACCTACTACCTAAGTTTATTATAAGTTTGAAAATTGATTTGTATTGTTATAAAAAATAATATAGGTATATATTTTTGTAAATTAAATGACCATTATTATTTAAAATTGATTTTTCATCTTATTCTCCTCCCTTCTCGGCTATATATGGGACGACCCGCTTTGTCAATTTTTTTGTTTTTGTTCGTTTTAGAAAAATTTTTTCCAAAAATAATAAAAAATAACTATTATTTTTTATAATATATTTTTTTATGTTTAACCCATACTTTAAATTAAACTTACATTGTTAATATCAAAATGTATATCTTATGTCAAACATATTTGTTTAACTGTCTGAAAACAAATTCACTCTCTCTTATAATCAAAATATATGTGTTTATTTTATTGCAGTAAATATTGCAATGTACATAGTATATTATGTACTTAACCAGAAAGTTGTTGATATATTAATCACATTTAAAGTTATCCCCCACTCAGGGCCTTTCCGACGGTTTGTGAGGCTCGGGGCAGAGTAAAATTGAGATGCTTAAAATGTCTTTATTGTCAAGTACCCCTTGATAATGGGGCAAGAGCCCAAATTGACTTAAAAAATATAGTACCTTGCACCTACAAAAATATTAATGAGTAAAAAAATTATTAACACAACACATCATCAACTTAAACTTAACATAGATAATTATATTGATAAAATAAGTCGATAAATATAGTAAAACAATATTATAAGAAACCTATGGACACACACACCTAACGCACAGTTACTTGATGAGCAAAGACGATCCTCCACTATGTGACTCATGCAATTTTTTTTTAACTGTCAATCACATCATTACAGAATGTCAAAAATATAACCAGTATCGAAATCAATACCACATCTCCGAACAAATTTGCCTAGCACTAGGGCCAAACGGCCCAAACCCACAGGACGTAAAAAACTTAATTTTATTCTTAAAAAAAAACAGAATTGTACAATTTAATTTAATGTAATCATGTAAATACTAAAATAATAACAATGTAACCAAAAAATTCTTGTACTAATGGCCTAGTTGTCGATGTATATTTCAGATCAATAAAAAAAAAAACCTATGTACTTAACAAATCAGCAAAATATGTGTCAATAATATTGTTATATTTTAGTTGATCAGCAATTTGTTTCTATGTACTACCATTAAGTGTGGCTAAGTTGTTGTATTTTTCTTGGTACAAAGTGCTTTGAAGATAGTTTTTACTTTTTTTTTTGTCAATTACAGCTTTAAAAATTGAAGTTTAATAGTTTGAAAATGATATTTTATATGTTATTTGCTACCTTAATTATGATAATTATTACCACTAATCTACTGTCCGGTACCTACTTAGGGGAGGTTATAAAGGTTTTATAGGTTAAACGATGTGTATTTTATCAACAAAAATGACTTAACAGGAAAAACTCTCACACCTTATATTTTATTGGTCGAATTTTGATAATTTATTTTTTATTTGAGAGAGGAGAACTTTTTTTAGGTCTGGTCAGAGCCCGAATTTTCATTTTACTATAAATAGTGCTAGAAAAATAGGTTTGAAAAATAATAAGCATTAAACATTATTCAATTAATTTAGCTCCTATAATTTAATGTTTAAAATCGGGCTTTGATCCAATCTGCAAAATGTTCTCTTATACTCAGTTTAAAAAAATTAAAGGGATCTGTTAATTCTACTGGACGTAATAGTACGTAAGGCACGTTTTTGTACTAAGAACGCGACAGTTCCTACGCCTTTAATCATTAACTCGTTTAAAATTCCATTTCAATGAACAATTTTTTTTGCCCCTCAAACTTTTTATCGTAATTATAATAGCGGGGCCTGTTCAACTGTGGTGAGGGTTCGGGGCCCGGGTTCGGGCCCCTCTCGCCCTGCCCTAGGGACACGGCTCGGTCCTCCAAGACTTATAATGGCTGCTGTGAAAATACACCACACACGATATATTATATTATGTGTATTACAATAAAAAGCAACCAACCTAATACTATTACAGATATTACATTACGATTTACAAACACCGCGATGGCGTAGACGTATGTATATAGGTAATAGCAGGTGATGTATACGCGTATTTTTGGCGTGCAGTAATAATAGTAATAATGATAATAAAAGCAGTGAGTGTTTCGAAAACGAGAGGATGCGGCGAGTCGTATACAGAGAAAGAAAGAAAAAAGAAACGTGCCGTGAAAAAAATAACACTAAACGGTTACACACACGGCGCGATGATGACGATAATAATAATAATAATAATAATAATAATATTGTGTGTATTCGTATATTATGTTGTGGACAATAAAATAAATACTATGATATATAGGTCCTATGTACTATTATTGTTGTATCGGCGGCGGGCTAGACGACCGCGATAAGTGCAATATAATGGGTTCGGTCGAGACGGGCGGGCGACGATGTAATAAAACACGAAATTAATAACGTAACGCGTTATTGAAGACGCATTAAAACTAGATCATCCGTCGTCCGTGATCGAAATGACACAACTCCGTGAGCGCGAGTCGTGGCCGGTGGCGGCTGAGTGATGCGATAGAGACGACGGATGCGACGACGTGTACGAGTACCGTTTCTCATTCATTCGTTTTGTTATATTTTATATTTTTAACGCATCTATTTAGATCGCTGTGTGTGTGTGTGTGTGTGTGTGTGTGTGTGTGTGTGTGTGTGTGTGTGTGTGTACTTATGCGATGTACGAACGGCGTTACGTAATTTTGCCACATTTTTTTTTGGTATGCGCGGGCGAAACACGACGGCGACGACGACGACGACGCATGCCTTTAATAGTTTAATAATAATAATAGTGATAATAATAATAATAATATAATATCGATATGAGATCTTTATGTGTACGAGCCCCGAGCGGGCGCTCTCCGTTTCCCACAAAAACGGCGACATATGTATATCGTATGCTGCACACCCGACGGCTGTGAGCGTCCTTGTCCACGATTATAATAATATTATAACCATCGTAGTCGTCATCTATTATCCCCTATATCATCGTCTTCGTCTACGTACTACACGTCTGTGTATCCATGTAACATATAGTGTCCTATACCCGTCAAATGGCGGCATGTCCCGAGCTGCAGACGAGAGCGACACCTCTCCCCCCCGGACCAATCACCCACCCACTGGCCATGGGTCGTGCTCTGAACACACTCCCGCCCACCCGCTCGCCAGTCGTCACGACTAATATACGCATAATATATTAGGTATTGTAATAATAAATGCCGTTTTATATCACAACCAGCAGACATACGATATAATATTATAATATAGGCATAAGGTGCATGCATGAGTGGTAGGATGGCGAGGGGGTGGTGTCATCACATAATTCGGCGTACATCTCCTTCGTTATCGTTATTGTTATAATATACTGACGACGGGTAATCGACATCGAAACCTTTTTGGTCAGTGGTGGGGCAACGTTGCTCAACCGCTCTCCGGGCCCGTCTCTTCGGGGTATATAATCCCATGGACCATACCCCAAGACCGCATCATTCGCATCGTCGTCTGCCAAGTCACGTACACTGTCTGCAGCTAGTACAGAAATCGCGAATCGTTATCGTGGTTGTCGTCGTTGTTGCCGCCGTCAAAACTTAGCCGTTGCTGTTGCCACTTTCGTCGTCATCCTCAACTTCACTGTAAAACAAATCGTTCGCCGCCCTTTTCGGCAAACTCATCCACAACATGAATGTGAGTAACCTACCCATAGCTGGTGATCTAAACGATATTAAATTTTCGATTTTATTTTTCATTTTTTTTCCTCCGACTGTATTTTTTCTATTATATTTCTACAAATTCGTCATCATATATTATTATACATACATACATTATAATATCATGCATATAAAGTTATATTACGTAGGTATACTTATGTACTATAGAACTATAGTGTATTGATTGGAGACTGCAATAATCGTCAGTCTGATGTGCTCTTACAACTAAACAACTAGGTATGTAGGAAATAACCAAGGAAAAAAAACAATAATATGCCACCGACTTAAGTTTTTAACAAATGATTGCAGAATAACAACATTTGAATGATCTATATTGTAGGGGGATTTATCAACTGGCGTTTAACTAAACCACCAACGTGCAAGGCCAAAAGTTGTCCGTAATTTTAAATCATGTTTTTGAACTCAATATTTTTAAAAGGCCGTGTGGATAATTGATGTATTGTAACTCAAATCAAACACTTACTTTAAAACTTTAAAGGTACTAAATGTAGATTATAGGTACGTTTTAGCTGATATTTTGAAGACATTCGATTTACATAAAATATTATTTGAATACAAAAACGTTTTATTATTTAAATTCTAAACATTGTTAAAGTACCTATATAATACACGGTTATATTCATATTTATTTTTGAAACGATATGTACAATGCATTAACTAGAAATTTAGAGAGAACATAGAAATAGCTACCGGAATATAAAAATATACCGCTAAGGTTTCAAAATAAAATTCAATTGTTGTTACCTGCTTAAATAAAAAGTATTATAAATTATTATTATACTTCATATACGTTCAATATTGTTGTTGATAGTTCAGTTGATTTCTTTTTACGTTTTTAACTAAACATTACTAAATATTTGCCGAAACACTAAGAAAAAAACTCTATATGCACACATTTTTATAAAACTATTGTGGTCAAATCAAAAATTCTTGGAAGTAAAAATATAGATATTGATGATCAAACTAAAACAATTATAATACAAATCCCTCTGTAATTCATTTTGTTGGTATTTTATTTTCCGAATTCAAATATTTTTTAATTGCAAGTTCTTTTTTTATTGGCTTTATTTATCAACAGCAAAATAATTCAAAATTAAACATTTATTATTACTTAGACTGTAATAGTTTAATAATTTTGAGTTTGTATTAAAATATTCTTATAATAATAATAGGTATATATAATAACACAACATACTGTGCTAAATAATATTATGTAATATTCATAGTAAATATTTTATTATGTATACAATTTAACTATTAATAAAGAAGGCATTGTAAGCAATTATTTAAAATAGAACATTAAGTCTAAACAAAGATGATTTTTAATATATGCAAGTTTATGAATTTGTCACATAATATAACGAAATAGTAGATTATCTAATCCTAAACCTAAAACAAAAGAATGTATTTATAATTCTAATATGGATAGAATACTATTATGCTATATTTAAAAAATAACATTATATGTACCTTTGTCTTTATATTATATATAATACACTCTACACGACTTTATTCATATGCATTCATGTAGTATTCATCGTAAAGAGTCAAATATTATAATTAATTATACATAACAAAAAATAATAAGTTTACTCTTGTGCTCCAAATTCGCTTAAAAACGATTAATCATAATGTAATGAGTAAACATTTGTAATATTTAAATATAGGATTTGTTGAATATAAAATTATTTAGCATTTATTATTTATTAGACATTGATTAAACCTAAAGTCTTTGGAATAAACACATTTGCCTGGACCATTGACTAGATAAACCACTAACATGACACTACAAAGTACATATAGTAAAAAGAGTGTTTGGACTTTTTCTATAAACTATTGCAAACTGTCGAAATTGAATGATCTTACAATTTGATATTTCAATGTATCAGGCTATTGAGATATTCAGTGAATATATATACTTAGTTGAGTATAAATAACCACGTACAATAGGTTTTGTATGACATAGTATGTACTACGACTATAAGAGTAACTTTACTAAATTCATATGACAATTAACAATGTACCATTTAAACCAGTTAAAATTATCAATAATATTTTACAGGATAACTTATTTCACCACATGTACTATTCTATCATTTTAATTTTAACTTATAGTTTAAGGGTACAAGTCTTAGAAGCTGAATATTATAATCAACTTATATGAACTTGAACATTTTTTCATATCTATACCGATTTATTATTGAATTTGTTAGATAACTTGATAGAATAGCACCATTTAAAATTAGTTTATATTATAAATTACTTATGATATTTTTATGTATATTTTCATTCATTTTTAAGTTTTTTAACTCTGGTAGTTAAAAATTACATAACTTAAAGTCAGATCAATAATATTAATAATACGTTTATTTAGAGATGTGAGTGCTGTACATTTACTAGGTAAAGAACCAATTTTTTTTAATTATAATTTATTTTTTATCCAAAAAAATGTTGTGTGGCAACTCTAGTCAAATGCAATCAAAAGGGTATACTCTGGGTGGTAAAGAGATATATTTCTATCAACTTGTAATAAACACCAATACAATAATTATTATTCTAATGATAGTTTCTATTTTCTCGATACTGTATGTAATTGTTAAAAGTAAATAATATAAATGCTTTAATTTTTGAACATACAAAAATAAAGGAAATGCTGTGTTCATTTTGATAATTTAATTTAAATTCTTTATTAATTTAATAATGAATAATTAAATATTCATAATATGTATGTAAGTATTGATACAGAGCAATAGATCAATTTTTAGTTATCTATTGTTATTACTAGAATAATAATATAACTAAATTTGTCAAGTATACAACAATACAAATAACAATCGTATTTATTAATAAAAAATATAGCACTAAGATATTTTATTGAATAACCTTAGATTCTATTTTATCGACTTTAATACTTTATTGGTATATTTACTGGTAAATTAACCTATATTTTTTTACTTGAATTCCCCATCTCTACATGTATAATTCAAATACATCTAAAATAGAATATTTTTTAATTTGTTATAAAAATAAAAAAAATGTTCACCCATCTACGGTTTCAGCGTAATTTTAACCATACAATAAATAAGTCTCTTCAAGATATTTTAAATAATCGTCTAATAAAAAATATATAGAAATGAATAACTATTTTTCGTAATTATGTTATTTCAGAGGGCACTAATAATATTGCTTCTATCAATTGTTTTTGTTGTTGCTGAATCACCATATGGTGGTGGAAGTAGCAACAGCAATGGAAATGGTAGAAATGGAGGATATGGAGGCAAAGGACAATACGGTGGAGGAAATGGAGGTGGAGTAGGTTCATCATCAGCCAGCCCGTTTTTCAGCGGCGCCAATCAATATGGATCTCAATCCGGATCATCGGGAGCAGCCAATAATCGTTATTCTTCATTTGGATCTAAATTTGGAGGTAACAAAGGAAGCTATGGAGGATCTAGTTCTCGTAACAATGGTCGATACGGTAGTGGATCGACAAGTGGTTATGGAAGTGGTTCTTCAGGTAGTCTAGGTGGAACTGGAAGATCGCCTGGAGGTTATGGAGGTGGATCTTCAGGAAATTATGGAAGTGGATCGTCTGGAAGTTTTTCAGGTGGTTCACCAAGTAGTTATGGAAGTGGTTCATCGGGTGGTTTAGGTAGTCCTTCTGGATCAACTGGAACATATGGAACCGGCTCTTCGGGAGGTTTTGGCAGCGGATCATCTGGAAGCTATGGAGGAGGATCTTCAGGAGGTCTTGGCAGCGGATCATCTGGAAGCTATGGAGGAGGATCTTCAGGAGGTCTTGGCAGCGGATCATCTGGAAGCTATGGAGGAGGATCTTCAGGAGGTCTTGGCAGCGGATCATCTGGAAGCTATGGAGGAGGATCTTCAGGAGGTCTTGGTAGCGGATCATCTGGAAGCTATGGATTAGGTTCTTCGGGAGGTTTTGGCAGTGGATCATCTGGGAGCTATGGAGGTGGTTCTTCGGGAGGCTTCGGCAGTGGATCGTCAGGAAGCTATGGAGGAGGATCGTCAGGAGGCTTCGGCAGTGGATCATCTGGAAATTATGGAAGTGGATCCTCTGGTGGTTATGGAAGTGGTGGTGGAGGCCTTGGTGGGGCATCTTCAGGAAATAACGATGGTTATGGATCTGGAGGTTCTGGATCGTATGACCAACTTGGAGGAGCCAATGGTAATGGACTAGGCGGATCAGGGAACGATCCTCTCTCGGTAAGTTTAACATTATATATACAGTTTAATTTGATAAATATAACCATAAAATATTAATAAATATTTTTATTTTTATAAAAAGTTTCATCCAATAATTAATTATAAAATTATCCTATACATAATTATTTAAGTATTAATAGTTAATACTTAGTAGTAGGTATAGTCATTTTGTGAAATAAGTACTACATAGTAGATTATTTGGAATAGTAAGTTCCATACAAATTGTTTGGTTTTTAGGGAGGCCGAATGTCGAACTGGTGTTGTTTGATCACTAAATGTGTTCTGAGGTCAAGCATCAGCCGACCTCTCTAGTTCCCGGGTTTTTAGTGACGAATCCCGGCCTCAAATGTACGTGTTCCCTACCAAGCATAACCCCACTACAAAATACTAATGGTCATAGTTGCTGTCTGCTGATGCTTAAGTTCGATAAAAAAAATGATTCTATGCATTCCATATTTTTATGTGCATTCAGCATTCAAGAAAAATATTCAGATTTTGTTACGAATATTCTTAAAAATATAAACTAAGTTATTCAAATTAAGTTTTAAGTGATGTTAAACATAATCTAAATATCCAAAGCTGAGAACATTGTTGATCTCTATAATTACACTACTGTTTAAAGTTTTAAAAATGATTAGGTTTTAAGACACCTATACTTCAAAATTTATTTGGGGTTTGAATTTTGTTTTTGTTTTCAATTTATTATTGACAATTCTGTCAGTACACTGAATGATTATTCTTCAGTAACCGTTAATTTCGTTCTAAATTATACTATATCTGTACTACTCTTCATATTTTTTTTGTTTTTAGGAAAACTTTGATATAACTGTAACTCTAATAAAACAATCTATTTAACTAAACCTAGATAAATATTAATATAATATTTTCTAAAATAAAATCAAAAAAATTTAATTAAAATATAGACACTTGTGTTTTTTCAAATGTTGTATTGAGGTTAATCTTAGCATTTTTTTATAGAAAAATAATTCATTATTCATTACACTCATGAACAGTTAAATTGTTGTCGTGTTTACAGTTAAAATAGTTTAGCAACCTATTGATTTCACAAGAAACAATTTCAAAATTCAACTTTATTTTATTTTTAAATCAATAATATTGTAATGATAATGCCTATATAATATATAATAAAGGTTATTAATAATAATATTTCCTAGAAATTATATTACTTTTAAATACCTTATAATATAAGGCTTATATGACTAGTGAATATGAATTTAGTGTGGTCCATTTATGATGAATTAAAATAATGAATATTTTAGTTATTTTCATTTTAATATTATTATTACAACGTTATGAAAAACTTAAATTTTCTTAATGAATCGATTTTATTATAGAATATTCAATATAATATGTATATTTAATTGTATTATATTTTTTATTCATAAAATCTAATTAGTAAGTTATATTTTGTATAGGAACCAGCAAATTAATTAGTAAGTTATATTTTGTATAGGAACCAGCAAATTATGAATTTTCCTACGAAGTTAATGCGCCAGAATCCGGTGCTATTTTTGGTCATAAAGAAAGTCGCCAAGGTGAAGAAGCTACTGGAGTGTATCATGTACTACTACCTGATGGTCGAACACAAATTGTTGAATATGAAGCTGATGAAGATGGATACAAACCTAAAATTACATATACTGATCCAGTAGGAGGATATGCCGGTGATCGCCAATCTGGAAATAGTTATGGTGGAAATGGGGGCTTTGGTGGTTCAGGAAGCTTAGGGGGAAGTGGGGGTAATGCAGGGGGCCTTTACAATAATGTTAATGGTGGTGGATCTAGCAACAATGGTGCTGCGTACGGTGGTTCAAGTGGTCTTGGTAGTAGATATGGTGGATCAGGAGGTTCCAGTGGAAGTGGTGTAGGAGGTGGATATGGTGGATCTGGTAGTTCAAGTGGGGGCCTAGGAAGTAGCTATGGAGGATCGGGAAGCTCAAACGGTGGTCTAGGAGGTGGATATGGAGGATCTGGAAGTTCAAGTGGGGGTCTCGGCGGTGGCTATGGTGGTTCTGGTGGCTCAAGTGGCTCAAGTGGTAGCACTGGAGGAGGATATGGTGGACTAGGTGGATCAGGTGGTTCTAGTGGAAGTGGATTAGGAGGTGGATATGGTGGTTCTGGTAGTTCAAGTGGTGGTCTAGGAAGTAGCTATGGAGGATCAGGAGGATCAAGTGGGGGTCTAGGAGGTGGATATGGTGGGTCTGGTGGTTCCAGTGGAAGTGGATTAGGAGGTGGATATGGTGGTTCTGGTAGTTCTAGCGGTGGTCTAGGAAGTAGCTACGGAGGATCTGGAAGCTCTAATGGGGGTCTAGGAGGTGGATATGGAGGATCTGGAAGTTCAAATGGAGGTCTAGGAGGTGGATATGGAGGATCTGGAAGTTCAAATGGAGGTCTCGGAGGTGGTTATGGAGGATCCGGAGGATCAAGTGGTGGTATAGGAGGTGGTTATGGGGGATCGGGAAGCTCAAGTGGTGGTCTAGGAGGTGGATATGGAGGATCAGGGGGTTCAAATGGAGGTATAGGAGGTGGATATGGAGGTTCAAGTGGCTCAGGTGGTTCTCAGGGAAGTGCTTATGGAGGATCTGGTAGTTCAAGTGGTGGTGTAGGAGGTGGCTATGGAGGATCAGGGACTTCTAGTGGGGGACTAGGAGGTAGTTATGGTAGCTCCAGTGGTTCAAGTAGTGGTCTAGGTGGATCTTATGGCAGTAATCGTAATGGTTTAGGAAGTGGGTCATCTTATTAATACTATATTTATTGCTCAAAAATGTATGATCATCTTGTTAGAAAATCTAAACTAAAAGTATTTACTTACTAAATGAACAAATAAATATAACTTTACTATTTTTTAGTTGTATCGGTATTACTATTCCGTTTAGAGTATTATAAACATGTATGTTTATATTTACAGATTTTATACTTGTGTGTTTTGCACAGTTTATTCTTTGGTTACTTTACACTTATTTCTGTATACTATTGAGTTACGCATATTTGTATGTATAAATCACATTTCTTTTTTTTTATTGGTGAAATGTACAATTTGATAATATTTTTATTACTATGGCGATGATATGTTTGTTAATTTTGTAATCATATTGTATTTAACATTAATTTAATAAGTTTAATACTTGTTCAATATAATATAATCGTTTTATTTGAATAAACTTTATGTCTTTATATTTTGTCTATGGAATGGTTTTTTTTTAGATTTTGTACTTCTAGCATATAATATAATAGGTAAAAAAACTTTTTTTAATACATAACCAGTGAAATACTGTATACAGATGAGCTACAAATCGTATCTTTTATTAGAGTGGACGAAACTCATTAGCTCTAAAGCAAACATATCTTATCTATTCTATGAACAGTACCTATTAAAAAAATTACTGACACAGAAAAGTAAAAAAAAATCATAAATTCACGTACCAAACTACAATTATTTATATAAATATAAGTATTTATCATGTTTGCGTAAAATGAAACTATGCAGGTAGGTATAGTATTGATTTGATTAAAATTAGGATAAAGGTTGGGTTAAATAGTATCGATGTAACGTATTAACATTGGTTATTATTTTGCAACAATACTTGTAGCAAAGATTTTTATACTTCTTGTTGACCATTATGGAGTTAAAATCTATACCATTATTACATATTTACTTTTAATTGCCTACTTTTATTTATTTAGTATATTTGTATGTACAGTTTAGTCTCGCTAATCCGGACTAGATGGGACCGGACTCTATCCATATTATCGAAAATCTGGATTAAACGGAATGACGTTTTTTTTAAATTGCTAATAAATATAAACAAAAAACTCCACATATATGTATACAAATTCAATATTTATTGATTTAAAATTTTACATTACACATTATTATTGTTATTATTATGATATATGTATTACATATTATGTACAAATATCAATACAAATTTAAAGAAAATAAGACTGAACTCACTTGAAAAAATAATACAAGCACAATACATTTGCAATCGAAACGATAATATCTAAATCATGGGTATTCCAGAACATAAACATTATACATGAGTAGTTAAGTACGAAATATGAATTGTCAGGATTATCCAGGTGTCCGGATTAGTGAGACTCCTCTGTAATTAAATGTCTGCTATTCAGAATTGTTTTACATATTTTAGTTTACAAACTGAGAAGGGGTACTCAAAAAATTGTAATGGTAAAAAAGGGTACAGTGTCTATACAAGCTTTAGAACCCCTTGGTTAAAGAAATTAACCCAGTTTTTATGTTTTTTAATAAAAGTTGGTAACTTATAATTTCAACTTTAATTACAGCAGTTCTCATATCAAACTTATTTCCACCTTAATTTCTACTCATAAAAATGTAAATATCTAAATATCTTTTCTTATTATATTATATATTGGTATACTTTCAAAATACAAATTTAGAATAAACAGATATATTTCATCCAATATTCAGGAAGGTATACAAGTATTTAATATAAATATAATATTAGAGTCATTCGTTTGTACCTTCTTATTACTTTATTTAACGTCTTACAAATTAAAATTAAAAGTATAGTTCTTACTTGGCAAAGGTCATTTCTTATATTTCTCAAAGTACTTTTTTGTACACATGGATTTACTTCACTATTAGTTAAAATTAATTGATGCTAAAAAATGTACTTTGAAATATTAATACATCATTTGTAAAATAGTAGGCATCGTTATCATAAGCGAGTCTCACATAGAGTTAGAATTTTTAAAGGAATCAGTATGTAATAAAAAAAACTTATAAAAATCAATTTTATAAAAAAAGTGTTTTTAATTAAAATCGTAGTTATTATTAATATTAAATTAAGCATTTACAGTGTCACAGTGATATTAAAATTGGTAATAAAAAATAAAGTAAAAATAGTAAAAATAAAAAATATAATGTTGAGTATTATTATTTGAGTAGATAAGACACAGACAAATGCAACAACCGTCGCGACGCGTTGCTGCAATATGTCGTGAAACGGGTTATATACATGCAAAGCGTAGAGCGTCAAGCGTTAGGTCAGTAAAAAATTGTATCAAGTTATATAATTTATTTTTGCGCTTTTATCCCACTACCAAGGTACAAAAACACAAATTCATTTTGCGCTTTTGAGTTATCGAAAAAAAGGTCGATTTGCGCTTTCAGGTTTCACCTAATATTTATAATAAAATTAAATATACGAGTAGAAACGAATATCACCACTCGAATGAGTGAACAATATTAACTCCCAAATGAGTGGCACTCTATTTTTTTACACGCTTTTCGTCGCAAAATATTTGTTGTCACGCGTCACCGATAAATTTAAATTTAATATATTATTATACGTACCATTGCCTATTTAGACAGTGTCCATAACTATATTACTATAATTGTAGTGTTTGGTATCAAATTATTGTAGTGAACAGAGCAACTTTTACCTAGGTACATATTATTAGGTATAGGTACATAAATTACGGTTTATTTCATAATTGTTTCGTAGGTACATACTTATAGTTTATTTTTTTCTAGGAATGAAAATCGGTAATTATTAGAATAATTTAATATTTAATAATGTTGTATATTAATATACCGATTGACGATAAAAAAATACACGATTGAAAATAAAATAATAATTTCATAAAAAGACATTATTAAAATCGCCCACAAACTTTCGGGAAAATGTTCACATATACGTAAATAATAATAATAATAATGTTAGGAAAAAATATTAGAGTGATTATGTAAATATTATGAAACACTTACATTCATGTCATTTCAGCGGCGAGGGGACTGCAGTCCTCTCACCCCCCCCACACAATAAATACGCCATTGTCAGAAACGGTCACATTCGAGTGGTTCATATTATTCTATTGTAATATTAAATACATTATTAATTGTGATTGTTCGTACACATTACGACAAGGAAAAAGCACTCGAAATCGTACACCTCTGCTCACGTCTAGTGGCAGCCGACCATTACAATAATGACAATAATATAACGTCTTCGTGGTGATATAGAACATATCGATTGTGGAATCCGAAGTTCCGTACCACTAAAAAGTACCTACCCAAGCTGTTAATTGGTATACGAAAAGTGACTACCATTCCGATTTGAAGTCTCAGCGTTTGAAACGGCATTGTTTTTTGTATTCAAAAGATATTCGTGCAAAACTGTAGCAAATTTCAACCAGAGTCCGCAGTATTTTGCGTTCGACGCCATCGGCATGAACTTTCAGACCGTGTTGCTGTTGGCCATCATCCCTGTACAACTGTACTTGGTGTTCGACGAGGTCCAGTTAATGTGGGTTGACGACGACAGGACCATCCATTTGCATTCTGTGTCGACGGACATGATCGGCGCGATCAGCATTTTGCTGACGGCCATGTGCAGCGTCCGACTGCGGCACATCCAGCATTCGCTGAGCCGCGTGCAACGGTCACTCCAAATCAAAGTCGACAACCGTGGTCAACAAGCCGACGTTGTCGCGGTCGGCCACTGGTCAATCAAATACCGGACCCGTTGTTGGCTGGTTCCGGCAGTGATCATGTTCGGTTACCTCAAGTACGGTCGGCTAATGGAGCACGGCGAGAAGACCGCTCAGTCGGGTATCGTGGCGTTGCTTAGCACGATATCGTTAGCCGGCAACTATTACGTGACGCTCATGTTTGTGGATCACGTGTTTTTCGTTAAAAGGTCAGTAACACAGGTTATACAACCGGTGCTAGATTTAGCTTGATATCATTTGAGTAACCCGAGTCTTTGAGCGACTTTGCGTTCAGAATAAATATACTTTACGCAAGGATTTCAAATGAATCTAATAGTTAGGTTTTGTTGATTGAATGACACGTTTAAAACTATGTTTGAAAAATTATATTTATGTATAAATACTAATTCACCGCCATAATATACTGTCATGATAGTAGGTTTAGTTTTACTACCCCAACGTATATATTGATAATTATCATCATATTATCAAGAATTAGATAATAGATATTATAAATAAATATATTAGAGTTAAATTGTGAAATTATGTTGTTTCGTGAAATATCTGGGTTCTTAATACACTAACCAAATTAAGGCGAAAACCGAAGATATATAACCATAAGATATTTTATAAATTCTCCGTGCCCGTTCCATTATATTGTGTATATTGGAAGTTGTTAAGATAAATTTAGATTCCTGTGGTTTGTGAACTAGTTTGGGTCGCTACTCTTTTTCGTTATATGTTGTATGGTCTGTTACTCTGTTGTATGTAACAGGTACGAAGATTAAATTATAATAATAATAACAATGAAACACTATCAGATGGTATTAGTCTACAACACGTCTCGTCGCTACAATCCATAAACTTATAAACATTTATCTCGCCTCTATTCACTGTAATTTGAGGGAGCTTATTTCTTGTCGAATAGTGTTATATTTTATGATGACTTTTCTTGTATGCATTAAGTCGGTATAATCAAGTCGTATAACATTTTATTTAAATAAAAAAAATGATTATGTTCACGGTTTATAAATGTACATGTACCACTAACTGATGTATTAATCGTGAGAACAGTGAATATTGTATAGTGTAATTCAAAATGTCACCAAAGTCAATCTGGTAATATTAAATAATAGGTACCTACCTGTTCCACGTTTCAAATTTAGGCACTAGACAGTTGATGGTTTAACCTAATTTTTAAAATGTTGTTTTGTAACAAGTTATATTGAATAGAAAAAGAAAATGTTGTAAAAGTTGTACAAGTTTATATTTTTATATACGTATTTTTGATTTTTATTTTTTGTCCGAATTCCATTTTATTCGAAATGTATGTGACAAATATAAAATACTAAATTGTTCCCAAATGTAATCAATTATCAAAATAATGATTTTTAATCTGTAATTTAGCATTTAACTTACAGGCAATAAAATGTTATATTTTATTAACTATTCTTAGTTTTGGATTGTATAAAATAACTTGTATTATTCTACGCAATTTCTAGATTTAGATAATTTTAATTTTAATGTAAATACATTATAGCTAAAGCAATATGTTAAATTATAACGGTAACAAATAAATAAATATAAATATAGGTATATGGTTGATTGTTGAAACTATGAAACTTACCCAAAGAAATAGTGGATATCAGAGTACTATATTATGTAGGTACGTATAGCCGTATAGGTACCCATGAAATCTGGCGATATAATTATATTGTTTTTAAGGAAGTTTTCACAAAGGAACAACTTAAATTAGAAAAAAAATTTTAAAAATAATACACATATTTAATTTTAACGCATAAGATAAGTTTACAAAAACAATAATTTAATAAATAAATAAATTATAATTTAGAATTACAATGTAAAGGTATCAATACCCATTAGATCCTTGGCCAGCAGATTCTGATGAAAATCCTCCCGGAGAACTTTTTCCGAATCCATTATTCTGTCCAGATCCACCAAGATCCGATTCCCCGTATTGCCCAGATCCAAATCCGTTACCATGTAAACTGGATCCAATACTATTTTGTGAACCATATGGAGAAGAACCTCCCCCATGAGAGTCAAATCCTCCACTATTTTGACCACCGTATGAACCAGAACCTCCACTGGTTTGACCACTGTAGGAACCAGGACCACCACCATTTTGACCACCTTGACCGGCAGAACCACCAGCATTTTGACTACCATAAGAGCCAATACCTCCATTGTTTTGGCCATAGGAGCCAGAACCTCCACCATTTTGACTGCCATAGTTGTTAGATCCTCGAGAACTAGATTCATTTGGCCCACCGAATTGTCCACGACCATTTCGTCCGGATTTTCCAAAAAAGCTATTGAAACTCACTTTAGCGGCTGGAGGAGCATTTTGATTTGGATTAAAATTTCCACCATTGGTTCCAAAATTTCCATTATTACCTCCTAAACCATTACCTCCATATCCACCACTACCTCCTGAACCTCCATTTCCATATCCTCCACTACCTCCTAGACCACCATTCGAATAACCTCCACTACCTCCACTACCTCCATTTCCTCGTCCATTATTACCTCCATTTCCATAACCTCCACTACCACCACCACTTCCACCAAATCCTCCATTTCCATATCCTCCAGCTCCACTTGAACCCCCACTACCACCAAAACCTCCATTTCCATATCCTCCAGCTCCACTTGAACCACCACTACCACCAAAACCTCCATTTCCATATCCTCCAGCTCCATTTGAACCACCACTACCACCAAAACCTCCATTTCCATATCCACCAGCTCCACTTCCACCACTACTACCGCCAAAACCTCCATTTCCATATCCTCCACTACCTCCCGCACCACCACTTCCATATTCTCCACCACCACTGGAACCACTATTTAAACCACTAGCTCCACTTCCATATCCTCCAAAACCATTGTTGGATCCACCATAGCCGCCGCTATTGTCATTAGGGCCACAGTTTATGGCCCCTGCATTTTGACTTCCTGAATTTCTTGTATTTCCATTGAAACCATTCCCATAGCTACCCTTTCCGCCCTGACCTTGGCCAAGAATGCCAGATGCAGGGCCATAACCAGAACCACCATTTGGTCTTCCGGAGGCTGTCGACCTTCCTGTAGAAGCAGATGCACCATATTTTCCATTGGGCGATGAATAACTTCCTTGTCCTCCTGACTGTTCATATTGCTGGCAAATACACAATCTCAATAGATATACCACAATAATTAATTTCTGAAACAAACATAAATCTATTTATTAGTTTATATCCAAACTCACTTGTATAGTAAAGGGAAATATTACTAAATATGTATTAACATAAAATATATTTACCAATAAAGCACATTATGGAACATAAAATATAATTCTCAATAATAAGTAATAACCTATAATTAAATCTTGAATGTAACCTAAATTTCCCCAAAAAATGCTAATTTATTAAACGTATAAATAAATAAAAAGTTAAATGTAATGTTTTTCAATTATTCTAAAGCTCTTAATTAATACACTCTTTGACTTCTATAACCACATAAAACATTCTGTATCAACAAGCACAGCTCATTACTCATTATTAGTGGCATATTTAGGATCTTGGCTTGGGAGTGATGTATTCAATCAGAGTTCAGTGAGTTATGAGGACTCCCTGGCTCCTCCCTCGACCACCAAAAATTACCTTAAAACTATGATAGCTTTATAACGTTATAAACAAAATTATAAATTATGCTCTGTTATCCGAAAGGTTAAATATTTTTGATTCTGAGTGCAGTAAATTAATGTATTGTATTAACTATTTACAATGATTTGTTTTTTTCTATTTTCAACATTTTTGGTAGTAAAAATAATCTGATTTAACCTCAACATCAGGTTAACATATGGTTTTGAGTAACAATCTCAGTTTTTCCATAATTTTTTGTTTGATTTTCTTGACGCTCTTGAAAACTATTGGGAATTTTTTACTTTTGATTCCCTAAAGTACCAACAACATTCACTGTCCTACCAGAAAAGATTTTGATGAAGATAATCAAATAATCTTTACTAGGTACCTTAAAAGGTGGTGAAAGACAAACAAAAAAAACACACATCATTGTAAAATTAATACATTCATTGCACCTATCAGAATTAAAAATTTTAATAGAAGAATGCACACACATTTTTCTACCTTAAACAAAAAAAAAGTTTGATGAAAAGTTAATTATTTATGGCCATAAAATATTTTCAAATTGCATACATTTTTTTTAAAAATTATTTATTTTGAATATTTTATACAAGGATTTATAGGAGGACACAAACTCTCCGTTATTAATTGTTTTTTGTATGCAATGATTGATTGTTGAATATAAACATAACACATCCATTACAATGACTTGACAACTATTGTACAGCAGAGCAATACCCACTACTGTCTACATTTTTCCTTGTAATACTATGTTAATAAAATATATTATATATTAGTTATTACCTACCTTTAAGTATAAATGTATTCAATTTTGTTTTAATAATTAACCTATACTCAGTGGTATGACTATTTTGTTATTTATAGATACATAGCTTACGTTATAGTCATCAACATCTTAAACACAAAATCTAACTCTATATTTTATGTAGGTACTTAAGTCATAAATTAATTATTCTGGCATAATTTTGATATTACGGTGACATACTAATCCATTTAACCTATTCTTAGTTCTTCCCGTGCGGCTAGTTAGTGTTTACCTATGTTATAATAAAATATTGTACCCTTAATACATTATACATATCTACTAATTATTTTATAAAATTAGAATACCCCGTGTTTGTTTTCTCAGAATTAACATAGATCATTTGACCATGCAGTACTCGCATGTATTGTATCCGACCTATTGTGTTACTACTTACTAATGCATGACATTACCATTAATACAACTCAGTCAGCAGTCTACACTATAAGAATTAATGTAAAACGTTTATAATATTTATCTGCTTATTTATGATTAGGGCTGGAATGTATATGTAATAAAAAACCAAAAATATGTACATATTTATGTAATTAAAATGGCCAAAATATGAAATATTAAATAAAAATTATAACAAAAAATAAAACAAAAGTAGTCGAAAAAATTCAAAAATATGTCAACTTGAAAAATACAATTCTATACCTACTTATAAACACTTTCAATTTTTAAGAGTACTTATATTTTCTAAATATAAATGTGTAATACTACAAAACCAATAATTGTGATGATGTAAATTGACAAATTATTTAACATATTAGAATATTGTTGTCGAAATTTTAGAAAAATGTAAACAATAATCAGACATTTTACGAATTATGTAAACATATGTAAAGTACAATTTGTGTCTTATTTCATTGCAAATCACTTGATACGAATTCATCATGTTTTAGTAAAAACATGTATGTATTTACATAATATACATCCCAGCCTTATTTATAATAAATATATAATACTATAGGTAATAATATATATTATACATTATAATATATTTGTATGTACCTTAATGCTATAATGATAATGAATTTACATATTATGCTATTGTTAGCACGTATTACAAATAAGGGAGTCAGAGCGAGGGCAGAGCGGTGTCATTACAAAATCGTATTTCCCAGGAAAAACACAAGTTTAGTGAAATAAACAGATGTCGATCATTTTTGAAAGATGAAACTTGATGTAGGTAGAATGTAGATCATATCACTCAGAATTTAAAATCTTTTTTTCAGAAATGATAATAAACGTATATCTACATAACACACTTTTGTGACTTTGTATATCTTGGTGTTTATTTTTCTGGCTTCTTTTAATGTTCATTCAAAAACTTAAAACTAAAATAAAAAAGATCAAATTACGAAGAATTTTCGAGGCGTCATTGTTTTTCCTACTCAGTCGTTTTTGATTACATTTTTCTATACGTCATATTGTATGGCAATCAGTCTTGTAACTAGAAATATGCTTAATTTTTTACCTTTAATAAATAGCCCATACACTCTAAACCAAAATAACTTATATTAAACAATTTTTTTTTAAATGTTAAAATTAAAAAAAAATTGAGGTTGAAAATTAATATATTTAACATTTAATTCATATATAATAAATAATACAAAATACATTTTAAAATTTTATGTCAACAACCAAAATAATAACCAACATTCGTTGACCGTTACAATCATAACATTTTGTAATTACATTATTTTATCAACTAGTTTATACTTCGTAGAATATAAATAATGAAATGAAAAATATTTATTTTGAAACATTTTTAACGTTGTATTTTAAATACTGCGCAATAATCAAGAAATATCAAACTACAGTAATACGAACTAAAAAAGTCGTAAAACAAAACTGTTTTGGTTAGGTCATCGCATCTAAAAAGAAACTGTTTTACCATAAGAGGTGTGCAAATGTGCAATGATGATATTCTCCTGCAGTAGTTAGATGGACGATGACTCCACGACAGATAGATAAATTATCGTGTATAGAACAGGTAACCTAACCTGACGGATTGCTCTGTATGCTCAAACACTTTTCATGAAAGGAGTGTATTATTATCTAGGTACTTGATAATAAGGAGAATGAGTAATAAAAGTCAAACGGTTGCAGGTGTCTGTAGTTCTTAAGTTGGCCACTGTACTTATGTGGCTATGTATAGTACCCACGCATGCATTAAAATCGTGACACAAAATACTTATCGAACCAAGTTAATTTAATAAATATGTCGACTCTTAGTAGCTCGAATAAATCACATTTCAGAAAAATTATGTAAATAAGTTAAAAGCAATAATGATGATATCGAAAATTTATTTATACCACCCAATTGTATAATGAACAATATAACTAATAAAAATGTATTAAGAGGACTCCACACCCGCACGTGTTGTCTGTGTCTTACAAGTACTTAACATGGCAAATGTACTCTCAGCAGATCACTTTTAGCTCTGTTAGGTTAAAAACCACAGTGAATCGACACATTATGAAACTTGATGGTAAGAACATTATGTGTGTTTCTTACATTGGTTTTTTACGATATACTTCAATTTTTTAGCAAGTTTTGAGTAAATTAAAAATGCTCATAATTCACTTAAAAATTGAACCAATATACGAACACAGGTAATGTTCTTACTATCGAGTTTCCCAATAGGTTGATTCACTCTAATTTTTAAACTAACAAAGCTAAACGCGATCTGCTGAACGTAAATTTGCCATGTTAATTAAGCACTTGCAACACACGCGGGTGTCCTCTTAAATAAAGAAAAACAATAACCGTATTCATCGATTTTCAAAAAAAAATAACATCCAAGTTATGAATATCTATAAGAATATAAATGTAAATTCAATAAGCTTTGAGTTACCCGGAGTCGACTGTATAACAACACTACAACAACGTAATGCAAGTAGGCGCTTTTATAGCCTGGTTCATAACGGGTAGGTACGTCGTTTGTCGTATCGTGTCGTGTGCCTTTTATCGTATTCCGACTGACCGTTGTAATCACGGTATCAACACTCACTATAAACCACGATCAACCGTGAAATTTACCGCTTGCAGAGTTGGGCAGATCTCAACTCTTGGACACGACACGTCACGACCCACGGCGTGGCTGTGGACCCGTGGTTAACGCGTGGCCTGCGGCCGTGTGACAGGCGGAACACCCGGCAATGTCGTTAAGAAAATGCGATCGTTACCTCAGCGGTCATCATCGTTGCGGACACGCGGTGGCCCGGCGTGCGCTTGTCGGCGATTGGCGGGGCGCGTCCGGTTCTCGGCGGTCACGTGGACGAGATGGACGGCTGTCGTGGCGACGTCGTATCGTAGACCCGGCTGGGGCGTAGACGTGTGTAAGTGCGTCGGAAGGCGGTTGAGCGAACGACGGAGACGACTGTGTGGTTGTCACTTAAACGGTCGGAAGAGTACGAGTGTTGTGGATGGTGCCGCGCCCGGCGTTATATATACGTCGCGCGCGGCCAGACAAAAGTGTGCTGCGACTCGCGAGCGTTTCGTGTGCGGCCTTCCGAGCCGCCGAGGAACAATAATGAATTAGAAAATTATAATGAACGATTATGATGTCACTCGCCGCAACCTTTTTAGCGCCGTTTATGATACCCGTCACGAAGGGTCGTCTCGACGCGCGCGAGCACAATAGACGCCGATGACGTAGTCGCACGCGACGCGCCGTGCACAGTCGTTCAGACAAAATCTGGTTGGGTGGCGGCGGTGAATCGGTCCGCTGTAAAAGCTCGCCGGCATCGGTTTAGGGCCTTGAGTGGATGACTGCCGATTCACACCCATTATGTCATATTATTATTATTATTGTAATCGCGGCCCGCGCGGGAGAAGTCTACGGCAAATTCGCCGGACGAGACAAACGGAAAAAAGGAAACCAGTCACCGCAGACGATAACATTTATATATATTAAGCGTAATATAGGTAGGTATTATAATACAAATCGTCTCGAGGACTTTGCCGTCGTCTGTCAGCTCTCCGTCAGTCACTATCACGCACGACGACCTTCAGTGCCCGTCAAACCGCCACCGACTCACCACCCCCCACGTCCCGCCTACCACATTAAGGTGACTCGTAATATTATAATGTGTGTATAGACACTCAATAGGTACGCCAAACCTATAGAGAAATGAAAACGTTTGTAAATACATTTTCAATACCAGTTAGTGATTTTGTTTCTAAAAATGATCCTGTCCGGAAGTATTGTAGAAATTACACGTTTACTTGCTTTTACTATCAAATTATGATCACATATTATTACAACATATAACTATAATTATATAATTAAAACAATATGGCCGTGTACAACAACAGAACAAATGTTCCAATATCTCATTGCATTTTTATTCATTTTTCTTAACTTATCTCTAACTATACTAAAATACATAATAATAATATACTGTAGTGTGAGTGTTATGCACTCGTTAAGCATCAATATGTAATTAATTTGATATAGGTATACTGGCGACATTAGTACTACGATACCAGGTACTGCAATATTTTGTATCTATTAACTATAAAATAAGTGTAAAGCAAGTAGGAAGTGGATAAATATTTCTATATTGATGTTTTTTGTGTATTTTAGTTTTATTATTATTATTATTTATTTGTATTTGTATTATGTATTTAATGTTCACACATTTAAATGAAAAAAAGAAAAGTTTCTTGGATAAAAGCCTGTTTGGGTTCTAATTTAAAAGTTCAAATTTTAACATAATTCGTCAAATCACGAAAATATGTAAATCATTTTGAAGTTCAAAACTCGTTACATTTTTTTTTTTTATTTTTTTTATTTATTAAATTTTTATTGTTTTAACATAATCTTTGTTTTTAAAATTTTTTCTTTTTATATAATATAGAGTAAAAGAGTGTTATAATAGTGTATAGGATAATTTATAAATTGTTTTAATTTAACTATTTTTTTTTGATTTTAAAACCAATGGCTGAAAATGTGATACAATATTCTCTCATATAGATACAAGAAGTTTTTAATACAATAATACCTACTGAAAATTTGAAAAAAGTTTATAGCAACGCCACATACATTTTTATGAGTTTAATAATTTTAACAAAATAATCAAAATATTAATCTTAAAAACTTTAAACTTGCCATCAATGATTAAATTAACAATATTTAAATAAATCATAAAATAGCGTTAGAAATATAAGCTGACAGGTCGTCTCCGCTCAGAAGCGTTTTTTATCGTACCGACACATAATATAAAAACCATTGAAGGGATTAGGGACAAGAGCAATACCTGTAAGAGTTAATACCGACACAGTGGTTACTGATTAACTATAACTGATAAACATGACAGATAACTTGCGTCCGAGTTACTAATTACTATTATCACTAGGACAATGGGAAGAATTTTATCTGTGGTGTACTAATAATACTATTACAATTATTTAATAATTAATTTCAATTTATCTCATCAATAATTTTTTCCCGTAAGTAAATAGTAGTATGCACGCAGGCTCAGAATTACTAGACGCATACACATTATATACCTATATAGATTATAGAATAATTTCGCAACTTCTCGCGCGAAAGCTGCAGGCATTCTAAACAGGACACTTGAACACGGTGCCTACTGCACAATATAATATATTTTAAGGTTATTGTCTTTTCAGAGTGTTGAACAAACTGAATGTCCAGGTAACGGATGCATTCGGCTCGGTTTCGGCATCGTTTCTGTCGGGATTCTCCGTGTCTGCCGCACGACTCGCGTACCTGGACATATGCGACGTTTGCACAACGCTGACGAGAGCGTTCCAAACGCAATTGTTCCTCAACATCGTGGGCAACGTGTTTGGCGTCACGTTCATGATGCTCTCCGCGTTTAACACGCTCATGTCCGACGGCGCGGACACCATCCGAATCACGCTGTACTGCCTGTACGAATCTCTGATACGCATGCTGCAGATGTACTTCATCATTGACGCTTGCCATACGGCCGTCGAACAGGTAAGTGTTAACCGTGATATTTACTGATGTATTATAAATATTATGATAACAGATTATAATGCAACCTGCCGGCTGCCGATGACGCGTATGTAAGTCTTGTCGACCCGACCGACTTTATTGTATTGTACTACTTCTCAAAGGAATTATAAATAATTCATTTACTGTACGGTATATATTATACACTCAATACTGGTACCTATATCGTTTTGTTTGGGTGGGAGCATTTGGGTTTGAAAATAGCTTTGAAGAAATTATCAAATTTTGAATCAGACAATTTCATACTTTAAACGAATAATGGTAATGACGCTGTAGTTTGTAAGTAAGAAATAATATTTATTTAAAACAAAATTAAGCAAAAACGACAAGTAAATGAGTGGAGTTCAAGCACAATTTGTTCAATTTGTTTTGCTTACTATACATATAGTACCTACAGGAACTTAAATTATAATTGGTACAATTAATAAGTTAACAGCCGAGTTGGGTCACACAAAATGTATTTTTATTATTAAGCACTACCCTTCTATTGTCAATATAACACACAAAATATCTTCAGAGAAGTTTTTTTGGCTGGTTAATATACTAAATATTCTAAAACTAGGTCCGTCGGCGCTCTCTCTCTCTATCTTTTTCTAGTTATAGGTATATATAGCTATTAGCTGTATATTGTATAGTATATAAATAGATATATAATAATAATTAATTTTTAACATATTAGATATTCTAATGATTAATATTACTCTTCACCAATATATTATAACTATATGTGGAAGGCCGTATATGGATTCTACTCCTCCCTCTATAAAAAAGGATATCTTGCCACTCCTCTCCTCAAAATATGTACCTATATAGATAATATATATATATATTTATTTGAGAGGTAGAGATTGAATTAAAAATGAGCCTTAGCGCGGCGCGACGATTTTGCTTAAGACATGGTCTTATCGAATTGGTAGCTGTGCTGCTCGTTCCGGAGACTGTTTTAGAATGTTATGTGTGTTTTCATAAATTAAATTTCATGAGAAAAAAAATTTAAGATCCCTGCGAGTTCAATGTTGAAACATACATTAAATAACCAATAAACCAAATCCTCACGTTTTGGTACTTTCGTATTCCTTATACTCAAAGGATCAAAAAGAGTTCAGCTTTAACCTATATGATCGTCTCATACCCTCGCACACGACCCTCTAGGTATACGTAATGATTCTCGTCAAAGACAATTATAGAATTAACGCTTTTAGCATTACTTTAATGAGGTACGATGGTATACGGTTGTTAGTTTAACGTTCGTTTCTTCTGAAACAGAATTACTTGAGGTTTCGAACACCACTGCGCAAATGTGCAATTCAGTTTGGAAAAACTTATTCCACTCAGTGTACGTAAGTGCCATATTATGTAGTATGCCCCTGCGTTGTTCCTTTTAAAAGGTAAGAACGCCAAACTCGGACCAAGTTTTTGGTCGGAAACAGTTATAATGGTATAACAATTTAAAAACAGTCATAAAATAAAACACTTAGCCCGTGTTAAGTTGTCGCGTCATTTGAGTACAACCGTCGCACCTACGCTTCTGCCGAGTTTCACAACAACGGTACAGTTCGTACCTGCGAGTGCGGCGGTGTTAAACAATTAAATATAACGTCGACTCAGCGCAATTTGCTTCGTTTGCCAGGCCTAAATTAATTGATTACTGCCTAAAATATATTTCCATATGAAAACTACATATTATATAAATTATAATTTGAAATTTGAAATTGACGACCGTCTACAATAAACGACGGTGTCATCGAAAAATACACTAAATATATCGCAGGCATACGAATAAATTACGATCAAGTCCGCGTATAGATTATACATGATAACCTACAGCTTTTTAGCCTGTCCTTTCATACTTTATTTTAAATACAGACGGATGGAATGGTTATATGTCTATTTATTAAACATAAATCTAATAAAAATATTGCTTTAGTTCATAATTTGCTTTAATTGAAAGTATTGATTTCTTATGAAAACATTAATATTGATCTACTGTTTAGGCGAATTCCATTAATATCACATTTCAAAAGAAAATTAATGAATATCATCAAGTAAACCTCACAAAGAGAAAGGTATGTAGCTAATATAAAAAATTATAATATTATAATACATTATATATATATTAAATACTTGTTCTGCATTCCTCAGTAATTATAAAAATAAAATCACACTTTTTGAGTATACTGTTGTCCTGAAATATTAAGTTATCAATACGACGCGACGCTTCTAACATTAAAATATTTTTTTGTCAAATCTTTAAAATTAAAAGCATTATATAATTCATTAACAGGACATTTCATCCACAATAAACGTCGTATAAATGATAAATCGACATAACAAATAAATTAAGATAAAAGAATCAAACTGTTGACGAAATGATTTGGTACAATCTTTTGGTTTACAATACTATACAATAAAGTATTATCATTAAGTATATTATATTGTATACAATAAAAACTTAATGGCATTACTCATAAATTATAATTTATCTAATTTAGATTTTTATTATTTTAAGTTAAAAGAAAAAATTAGTAGGCATTTTTACTTTAAAGTAAAATTAATACTTTTTTATTTGTATAGGTACAACTATTCATTTTGGAGATGTTGGATCATAAAATAGAGTTTGTTATTTACGGTTTTATTTGCCTGGACTTTGAAATGTTTGTATCGGTATGTCAACATAAGTCTTACCATTATATAGAATGTATTTTGTGAAATTTTAAATATTATAATTTCAGATAATAGGTACCATAGCTACGTATTTTTTGATTTTGGTACAATTAGGATCTTCACCTGATGTCTTGGTACAATCGTTTAACGTAACGTCAACAACAACAACAATGACACCCGGTGCATTCAAAACAAAATCAAATTATACTACTCGCACTTGAATAAAACAATTTCATAAAAATGAATGTATTTTAAATTTTAGAATGTAATATGTTGGCTGTTTTTAAAATGTATTTTATTGACATATTATAATTACAAAATATGGCACGCATACTAATCACGGTAACCATTAAGTTGGGTATCTTTAGAAAAATAAAAATAAAATAACGGTATACTTTAGGTATAATTTGGCAAACATTTGTGTATACTATATTAGGTATATTATAATTTAAATTACACTAAAATAATTGTTACTATTGATTCACATTTAAAAACGCTAAAATTAGTATGTTTTCATATTTGTTTAACATTAACCTTAAGCCTATGCAACTAAGAGAATAATAACAAGGTTTTTAGATCTGATTTTCCAGGTTCATTGTTGAAGGCCACAATTACTGTAGCATTATTACATTTGACGTTTGTCCTTTGATTAAAAACATAGGAAACTGTCAAACAGTGTTAATGATTTACATTTAACTATTGCAACCAAAAAACTTTCAAATATAATTATATAAGTATCACGATCGTGATTTGAAAATTAAAAAAAAGCCACATGAATAATATTGTTATTTGTTATAAACTTATCCAATGACACCGATTTAGATTGAAGTATTAAACCATTGTACAATTAAATAATATAGGTGTATTGCACTATTGCAGTATGTATTATGTTTATTTAATAAATATTTTGTTTAGATATGACATATCCACATATCATACATAATCTAATGTATCCACTATATATACTTATTATAAGTTATGTGCTCTGTGTGTTAATTAATTATTATAAATATTGTAGTATAGAATATAATGTTTTGTTAATTCATAAGATATTTTTTGATTTTTATAGCTATATGTAGTAACTAGTAAGTACTTACATTGGGTGCATATCGGCTATCCGTATAATTTGCTAATACGTGTGGATTCTAAATGTAGTTGAAATCTGTTCAAATTGTGCTTTTGGATGAAGCCCTACCCCTAAAAAAATATTTCTTATAATAGATTTATACATTTTATAGCATATCTATTTGTCACAAATACACTACAATGACTAATGTTTTAGATTCTGAGCAAAGCGATGAATGTATTGATTTTACAATAATGTGTGTTTTTATATTTATTTATTTGTGTCTGTCATCAGTCATCACGGTTTCTTGTAGTAAAAGTGCTTCGATTTTCTTAAATAGCAGTGTTTCTGGTAGGAAAGTGAATCTAGTTAGTGCATCCGGGAGGTTAAAATTTAAAATTCCCAATAGTTTTCAAAATCAACAGGAAAAACGAACAAAAAATTAAGGAAAAACGGGAATTTTTACGCAAGACCAATTTTCGAAAAACTCGATATTAGTTTTTACTTTTTAGTATAACTCTAACAAAAATGACAGAAGATACATGACATTTTCATTAAATATTTGTGTAAGCATTTTCTATACACCATACAATTTTCAATGTATATTGATTTGTGTTGAACTATTTATAGGCATATTAAATTTTCGATTATTATTTGTTTTTTTTAAACTGAAGTCGATAAAAAAATTTTCACTCCGTCAAAAAACTTGAAAATGTAATACAATGTTCCTTGTCAGTTGTTGTTAATGGAAATTAAAAAAAGTTGAGCGTAAATCCACAATAATTTGAATTTAAACTTAGAATTTTCATAAAATTCGTAAAAATCAAGAAAATTTGCAAATTACCTTTAGTTAGAAATTCATAAAAATATTTTTATTTATATCTAAGATTTAAAAATTTAATACAAGATTCCTTACTAGTTTGTCTACCTTCATCAAAAAAAATTTCTACCGAAAAGTCAAATTAAATTTTTATAAGCGTTTGAAGTTGAAATTTTTACAACATTAGATATTCGCTCGATTTTTCTTTTAGCGATTTTCTTATTTTGTTGTCATTCAAAAACGAATTACTTTAGACACTTGAAATTTATACCAAATATTTATTCCATCAATTCATATACTCGATAACATTTTCAAAATATTCTGACTTGAAAACAATTAGTCTGTTGACGGACATTTCCATTTTCCTTTATTTTAAATTTTTTTTTCTATAAATGTCAATTAAATTTTATTGGTTGGGTCAAAAAACTTCAAAATGTAATACAAGACTCTTAATAACTTGTTACAATAACAGTTGACATATATTAAAAATACATAGCCACGATTTTTTTTTAGAAGCAATTAAAGTTCAAATTTTGAAAATATTTATCAAATGGAAAATTGAAAATGATTTTGTAGTTAAAAATGTATAAAATATTCAATTTTTATAGCTTAGGATTGAAAATTTAAAACCAGGTTCCACTTAAGCAGTTTTTACCATACCTAACCAATAAATCTAAAAAATATATTAATACAGTTATTTTTTACAGACATTTGAAGTTCAAATTTGGACAAAATCGAATATTAACTCAAACAATAATGATTATCATTTTGTTATAATTCTGTTCCAAAACTTTTCAAATTCAACCTACCGGCTACCATATTAATAACATAATATATAATAACAATATAAAATATCTTAAACTGACATACCGTCTCCACTCAGAATCGTTTTTCGTATACAATGATTTGATATCATTAAATTCAAATGTAATACCATCCATTACAGCGACCTCTTAAACACCTAATGTACATCAGAGCGACATCCACTTATCCGCTTTTTTTTCAAATTCGATTATTATATTATGTTGGAATGTTGGATATTAATAGTTGTACCGTCACATAATAAATTAAAAATGGAGATAATAATACAAGGCATATAACATATAACATATAATTTTATGTAACAAAAACATAGGTACTTACCTACTCACTATTTATAGTCTATTATTTTATTAATTAAACTAAATGGAAGCGTATTTTTAGACAGATTGTGTAATCAACACAAACGTACAATAATTGGATAACTTGTCACAAAAAGTATGAAATTAATACTACACAAACAAGTTACGTCATTGATTTAATTAGCCAAAAATCAATTTAGTGTTATTATATTGATATTTGAACAATGTAAAAATACTTCTATTATGGATATTATTGCAGTTTATTTTATTATTTTTAATATAATTAATCAAATTTATGAAAAATTATTTAAAAAACGATTCTTCGCCGGATAAAGGTGTTTTTGTAGTAGTATAGGATTTCTGCATTTGGTCATCACTTTTTAATTGACGATTATAAAACAAACATTCACTTTGTGGCACGTACTTATCCACGGTTTTCATAACGGTTTCCGGGAAATCTCCAGCTACCATTCTAGTTTATAAACATCAGTTGTAGTTTAATAAATATATCAATAGAATGTGAAAAATAAAAATCATATTTTTATCTTACTGTATTATGTCTTCTGGGAAACAACAATTGATAGCCTTGATGACTTGAAATAATTCTGTATTTATCTCCGGATTAATATTTTGAATCATTTTCAAATGGCCGTTAGTAATAAAACTTCGCCGTGCTTGAGAATTATTAGGTAATATCTGTAATACATTGAACAATAATAATTACATTTAACTACAGTGGTACAGCAGTTCATTGCTCATAACTCATAAGTAACAATTCGATGTTAATTGTGTGTGTGCCTATTTATTAATTTATAGACATATTTTTTAATATTATACCTATACATAGACAATTTAATTATCTTATAACTCCATACGTCCTTAATCATTGGAATCATTGTCACCTAAATTATTTAAACAATTATTTGGTAGGTGGAAAAAATGTCCACGGAAAAAAAGTCCAGGAAAAAAATTAAATATATATGACATATGTGAACACATGTACCTATTCTCTACTTTTAATTAGTAATTAGTAATTCATAAATTATTATCATAGCCAATATAGGCAATTTCATATGCGAAGACTCAATTAATAAGAAACTTTTTTCTTACCTATTTATTCAATGTACAATTTCAAATATAAATAATTGTATGTTTGATTATGGCGTGTGCTTAACTATTAATTACATATAAAAAACAACTTTTAATAGAAAAAAAATGTAACTATAAATTTGAACGCAGATGCGTAACAAAATGCTATACTTAATAAATAGTTTTAAGTTACAAGTCAAAAAATATCAGGGGTATAAGTATAGAACCTTAGGTATATATACACCACTTTTATACAAAAAATACACATGATAATAATTTATAACATTATTTTCATTATAATATATTATATTTTGTTATAGGCACAAGCACACAGTAATTACTCATTAGGAGTATGAGACATGAGTATAGAGGTACACATTTATATTTAATTTTTTTCTGGGCTTTTTTTCCGTGGTCTTATTTTCCGCGATTCATTATCTATGCTTGTGAGCCCGTGTTTGTCACAGCAACAAATTTTGTATTGTATATACAATAAAAATATATTTGTTTAGAGTTAGGAAACCGGAATTCAAGGAACTATACGTATACATTAATGCACAGGGACGGATCCAGGGGGGCCAGACATATTATTTCCCAAATTTTTTTAATAATTCTACAGATCCAGCAGATATTACTAATTTCAAATTACATATATGACTGATAATATAATATATTATTATACGTATAATTCTGGGGTGCACAAACTAAGATATTACTATCTTAGTTCACGGTGGACAGTGATTCCAATATTGTAATTTTACATTGACAAAAAATTGTGGACCCCCTAGATATTTGTTCTGGATCCATGCCTGGGTCCCCAGGAGGGGTAGTCGCCTACTCTGTCCCCTCTGTAGTACCACCTATGGGTACACGTCATAATGATTGTCCCATAACTTTAAATTAATCACATTAATAACTTCATGTGACACGTATAATCAGAGACAAATATGAAATAAAATATAAAAAGTAAATTAAGAAATACTTATTACTATGCTTATTTTTTCAAGTATATGTATCATTATTTCGATAGGGGTCGACGGTGTCAACAATTTGTCTAAAACATTAAAATCATCACATTTTTTCAATATTTGTTCCAGAGCAACCAAACATTTGTGTCGGCTCTCGCTTTCTATTCTTGAATCCAAATAAACCTGTGTAAAGAATAAATATTATAAGCAAATATTGCAATTAATTGTTGTAGTTGTATCTTACGTTTATGATATCAGTTACAGCGCCACAAGAGCAAACAGACCTCGCATGTTCAGCACTATGTTGTCCTATCATGCCTAACGTCCAAACAGTCCCTGCTTTCGTTAACTTGTCCGTATCACTTTTTAAAATAGCAGTCAAATGCATCAATACCTTATATATATGTATATATATATATAGTTAATAGATTACTTCTATTATGTACAATTAACCAATTAAAAAATGCATTTAAACCTGGGATTGAATTATGGCTGATGCAAGTTTTGGTGACATTGCGGCAATGTATCCTAAAGCGTGTACAGCAGGATTAGGAGACAAATTTTGTGTGCACGAAATAACATTTAACAGCTTATCTATTCCACCACTATTAACAACCATTTGAGCAATCTATAAAAACAAAAAATGTATACATTACGGCTTATACAAATTTTATATGAGAATAATATGGTGGTAAACGTGTGTGTATTCGGTTATAGGTTATTATTATTAGTTATTATTTATTATTATTATAGTTATTAGGTTATTACCTATGTGTATTCCGACATTGATATTATATTGTCACTTACTCGTGAACACAAGATAATACATTATGAAATATATTATATAAATAATATAATAGCTGATATAATATAATATAATATATTTTTCATATAACAATAAATAAATTTGAATAAAAAATGA